AGTTCTGCACCTGAAAAACAGTTGACAAAGTTTTTTCCCCACTTTTCAGGTTTTCTTTTCATTTTTGATTATTTCCTTTGCTATGCAAAAGCTTTTTAATAAGATTCTGCAAGAGAAAAATAACAGTGTGCACAATTGCAAGAACACCAATAGAAAGAAGCTACTAGGAAGAGGAAGCAATTGAACAGAGGGGAAAGACAAGGAACAAACAGCAGAAAATAATGACTAGGATAATCTGATACATGTCAGTCATAGCCATTGATGTAAATGGCCTCAATTCAACAATCAAAACAAAATAGAGTGGGAGAATAGATCAAGAAATAAGATCCAAGAATACTTCATATAAGAATACATTTAACTCAAAAAGAAATTCATTGACAGAAAGTCAAAGGATAGAAAAAATACCCCATGTGATAGGAACCTGGAAAAAAGCAGGAGTAGCTATTCTATTTTCAGACAATGTGAACTTCAAGCTGACACAGATCAAAAGAGACAAAGAAGGTCACTACATTCTTGGTATAGGGAAATTCCAAGAAGAGATAACAACCAATATCTAATTTATTTCACTTATGACTATGGACTCAAAGTTCACCTTATTTAGCTATAAATGTCTCAGTTTTTCTTTCTTTATGGCTGAGTATACTCGATGATATAAAAATACTGTATCTTTTTTATCTGTTCATTGGTTGATGGCATTTTAGGAATGTTTTATCTCCTTCTGTGAGGTATGTTAATGGTGTTATGATTGGGATTGCGTTACATCTGCATAGCAATTTTGGAAGTATGACCATTTTACTATATTAGTTCTTTTTACCCAAGAGCAAGGGATATCTTTCCATTTCCTGATATCTTCTTCAATCTCCTTTTTCAGAGTATTGTAGTTTTCAATGTAGAGATATTTACTTCCTTTTTTAGGAAGCATTGCATTTTTTAAACGTTATTATGAAAGGTGTTTCTCTCTTAGTGTTTTTGTTGTTATTGTATACGGATGTTATTGATTTTGGGGTGTTGACATTCTATCCAGCTACACTGCTGACTTTGGTTATTAAATCTAGAAGTCTTTTGGTGTAGTTTTAAGATCTTCTATGTAGAGTAATATGTCATTTGAAAATAATGATAACCTATCTTTTTAAAACTTTACTCCTTTTATTTATCTATTTATTTTGTCTAATTGCTCTGGCTAATATTTCCAGAACTATATTCAGGAAGAGTGGTAAAAGTGGACATCTTTGTCTTGGTCTTAATTTTATAGTGAAAACTCTTAGTTTTTGACCTTTTGGGTTTTCTGCCGTTACTTCTGTGCACAGTTTTTCATGCACTTTCAACATGTGATCATAATCTCTAACTCTCGGTACACCTACATATATGAAAGCATATCACTCCCAGTTACTTGGTGACATGTTAAAGTTTTCAGAAACTCTTTTTGAATTCCAAGATATTTTTGAAGTACCAACTCTACTGACTGTTGCATCATTATATGCTAAAAGAATAAGGATAGTTAGGAAGGGAAGGAGATAAATCTATTAGGTGAATCAAATCTACTAATATGAAGGAGACAAAACAGTAATAAATGACAGCAAGAGTCTCATGACTTACTTAAAATTTCTCATAATGGTGTGATTAAGTGTAAATCCTATCTCATGGCTTGGTCTAGAACTGAGGCAGAAAAATAGGTCTGTGTGTGAGTACAGGTTGAATGGACGGCATGTGGAACACTTGAAAAGGCTCAATTAGGGAGAGTAGAGTGGGACTGAGAATAAATCGGTCTGAATTCATGTTCTTAATATAGTTAAGAAACCAAGGAATGATTTGAAGTTGCCCATAGCATGGAAGAAGCAAGTTCTGACCTAGAGCTTAAAGTTCATGATGGATATGGCCAGAAGTAGAGGAAAAGGAGAACACTAAAGACAAACATAAGTGGGAGATCAATAGAAATTGATCTGTGTGTACAGCAGGCTAGTTTGTGAACAGAGACATGATATAGGACAATATAAATTCAATGGTACTATGAGAGCTTCCCTATTTTATGAAGAACTGACAGAGACATGATATGGGAAAATATAAATTCAATGACAGAATTAGAGCTTTCCTATTCCATGAAGAACTGAAAAGTAAATAACAACATTTGAGCAGGAAAATACAATAGTTATATTTAGATAATCAGAAATGCTTAAAGAAATATATATTATGAATATTTTGTAGAACAAAGTAAGCCATATTAAGAGGCATATGCACTATGTTATTGCACTAATATGAAAGTAAACGAAGGCAAAACTAATCTATGGTGACAGAATTTAGAATAATGACTTTTTCTGTCGACATAAGAGTTTAGAAAAGGGATGATGCAAATTTCTGGGAAGACAGAAATATTATCTATCTTAATCTAAGTGGTGGTCATATGTGGAAAAATTGATTGAATTACTTGAAACGAGTGTGTTATCTGTAAGTTATATTTCAAAAAAAGGAGACAACACTAACAGAAAAATTGTTTGGGGCGTTATCTCTTTTGTATATATTCTTATTTATTGTTTTGGGGTTTTGCTTGTTTATTTGTTTGCTTACTTGCTTTTGTTTTTGCAGTACTGGGGATAAAACCCAGGGCCTTTGCCCAGACCTACATCCCCAGGTTTTTATTTTTTAGCTTTAGACAGGTCTCACGAAATCACCCAGGCTGGGTTTGAACTTGTAATCTTCTGCCTTAACCATTTGAGTTGATAGGATTATAGATCTGTACTACCATGTTCAATCATTTTTTGGTTATTTTAAAAATCATTTTAAATTAATACTTGACTCTTTGACTTTTAGCATTTTCAAAATAAAGTTAGACTTAATAATTTCTCTCCAAATTAATTTGCATCTGAACCTTTTACTACCATAATATTTTCAATATCAATTATTAATATGCCTCAATTCTTGAACTTAATTCTTTCCAGGATTCTGGTCACATACCAAACTGAAAGAGAGTCAAATTAAATTTCCCCAGAAGAGCAACACTGAGCCCAACCATTGAATTTAACTCAGTTCTCATCCAATTTGGTTTGTGACCAGAATTGTGAGAAGAATTAAGTTTGTGAACAAAGGTACCAGTGTAATTTTTTAACATGTTGTTTGACCTATAAGTTAATTGGAACTATTTTTTTCTTCTCAAATGTTTCAGCTCCTCCACTAATTTTTCTGCTCCTGCCTCACCCCCCACTGTCTCCAGGTTTCTAGAGCATCCTTGTCCTTGTACCAACTCTGATTTCATCAGTTAACAGGAATTTTAAGTAATGATTGCCCAAACACAAAATTTTATTACTTTTCCTCCTTTGTATCTTTACTCCTTTGTGTCTTCTTCAATATCTAATTAGTGTTTCCATTTGAAAAATCAAAACACACTTACAGTAATAAATGGTAGTAGCAGTAAATATGCTAAAAGACAAAAAAATTTGAGTGGAAAGTTACCATATTTTTATATTGCTTATATAAGAGACAAACCGTTATAAATTAAGTGTTCTTTATAAATTTATTTAATTTATTTAACATTGATATTACCAACCCATAATAGTGATTTTACTATGAGATTTCATACCTTTCTTAAATGTCTTTTTAGATAGCAAACTAGATTTAGATTTGCTTTGTAGATACCAAACTAGATTTGTCTCATGAAATTGCATCATCTAAAAAATATTTGAGATTGAAATTTTAGTTTTTGCCTTTGTTACCTGAATAGTGGTTATCATTTCAGTTAAGTAGAGCTGGCAGCAAGTATGAGCACTGAATATCTGATGCCGAGATAGCTGTGTGGTGAGTGCTAAGTTTGCTGAATAAGAGGCCGTGGCCAACAAGATTATGCATTTAACATTGTGAAAATTGTATGTTTTGGGGGCTGGGGATTTAGCTCAGCGGCATAAGCACCTGCCATGCAAGCAGGTGGTCGTGAGTTCGATCCCCGGTACCGATAAAAAGGAAAAAGAAAAAAAATTGTATGTTTTCTACAAGTGTTGGCTAGAGTAGGCTGAGACAGGCAAAAGCAGTTGTGGCTGTGGTGACAACAGAGGAGGTCAGCTGAAGTGCTGGTCCCCATTGCAGAGTGCCTTCATGTGACGGGAACAGACTTAGGGGTGTTTATAGATTTATCTGAAGTTCTACCAGTTCTGAATGCCATTGTTTCTTTTGATAGCAGCTTCTGAACAAAGTATGAGTGATTATACATGAAGCTGAAGATTCAGTGCTTGTTTTTGTGCCTGTACAGACAGCGATATCTGCAGGTGCAGGGAGTGGAAAAGGTTTTAGAGTCAGAGGAACTGGAGGTTGGGTCAGTTCAATAACAGCTGGTGTTGTGCTTGAGGGTTCAGCAGAAGATAGTTGTTTTGTCTCTAGTTTCAACCTTAAGTGGCTGTGGGCTCTCTACCTGGAGTATGTTTAGTAGAAATTGTGATGCTTTTAGTTTCAGTGGACAAAGTGGCATTGATGGCATTTGTTGTAATTTCAGCTGAATGGGGTTGACATAGCTGTAGTAGTTCAGTAGAAAGTGTTCTCAGAGTCTGTGACAGGGGCGTTTCTGTTGTGGTCTTAAGTTCAGCGCTGTAGTTAAATGGCTCCTGAAACTAACCTGTTATGGTAGACTCAGGAAAAGCTACAGTGTGAGTTGAGGAGTTGTGTGTTCCATTGAGACAGTTACTGCTGAAGGCCTGTATAATGCCAGGGGGAACTTGTGTCATAGTTTAAATACTGTGTCCGTATTACGCTTAGTTGAAGTGGACCTTTGGTCGGAGCCCTAGAGACACTGTAGTGGAAGGTTTACTGGAAAGGCTGGTGTGTCTGTCTCTTTTTTACATTATGGTAATTATTTCAGTTTAAACGGGGATTGTGGTGGTTATGTTGTAGATTTAGAAACTGTGTTGTTGCCTCCAGCCTCACAGGGGTGGGTGGGACCCTGCTCCACTCACTTCTCCCACCCCCCACCCCACCTGCCGCGCCCCACCCCCACCCAGGGCTCCTAGAATGGCCTTTGTCCCCTCCCCCACTCCTGTTACTTGGGAACCCTGGAGACTGAGCGTCCCTGGAAACCAACTGTTCTCTGCCTCTGGAGAAGCAGGTTGGTAGATATTCTAGATATTCGCTGCTCAAGGGATTCCTGGAAAACGGACTCATTAGTCTTAAGATCCTAACAGATGGGAACTCAGTGCAGACCGAGGTGCTCCTGCTGAGAGCAGCATCCTTTTAAAGAGGATCCTGTGCTTGTCTGGAGGATCAGAAGACCCAGCCATCCCAGGAGGCCGGCCGGCCCTCCCGCAGGAAGCAGAGGCTCACTTCAGGAAGCCACTGTGATCCGCGAGTTCTTCCAGCATGTGTAATCAAGGGGACGACTGCTATTTCTTTTTCTATTCCACATGTACCAAAGGGGACGCGTGCCCCTTCCGCCACTGCGAAGCTGCGCTGGGGAATGAAACGGTTTGCACGCTGTGGCAAGAAGGGCGCTGCTGGCGACCGCTGTGCAGGTATCGGCACATGGCCGTGGACAAGAACCGCAGCGAAATTCCGTGTTACTGGGAAAATCAGCCCAGCGGGTGTCAAAAGCTAAACTGTGCTTTCCACCACGACAGAGGTTGCTATGTCGACGGCCTGTTCCTACCTCCCAGCAAAACTGCAGTGTCCTCCGTGCTGCAGTCCCCGCAGGAGGCCAAGGCCAGCCTGCTCCCGGTTCAGGGGAGCAAACTTGGGGTCCAGGCTGGAAGCTCCCCCACACTGTGGAGCACGCCCGGGATGACAGGGGAGAGTTACCAAAGGGCTCCTTGCTCCAGGCACCCACAGATTTTGATGAGTACCACACAAGCTGATGAAGATGAAGATGACGAGTCCTCTGAGAATTGCAATGGAACCATAACACCTCCTCCGTTGTCCACGCCTGAAGTCCCTAATGGGTCACAGGTGGCTTCTGCACAGAGACCTGGTGTCAACTTAAAGCAAGAAGTTTCTTCAGGAACTTCCAGTCTTCAGCTCCAACCTCAGCTCCTTCCAGGGCCTGAAAAAGGGCATGTGCGCACTGTGGTGAGGACAGTCACTCTGTCAAGCAAAGGAGAAGACCCCTTGGTTCCACTGAGTCTTTCTGAGAGACTAGGGAAAAGAAAACTTTCAGCCGGTGGTGACAGTGATCCCGCACCACAGTGGAGCCTGGCAGAGCTGCCAGGAAAGAAAGTTGAAGCTCCAGAAACAAATATTGACCAAGCACCAAAGAAAGCACGGGTTTCCAAGTCTGTGAAGGAGCGACTGGGCATATTAACTAGGCCAACCAGTGATGAAGCAACCATGAGAGGCGATAAAGTCAGTGAGATCCATGTGAAGACGTTAGAAGAAATTCTTCTTGAAAGAGCCAGTCACAAACACGGAGGGTTGCTAACTCAGCTCAAGACAGCCGGTCCTTCCAAAGCTGATGATTTCACATCAAGAACGGGCAGCTCCTCCACCGTCCGAATCAAACCCTTCTCTGAGATCCTGGCTGCAAAGCAGCAGCAGCAGCAGCCATCAAAAAGACAGCAAAGCAAAAGGGATGCGAGATGCATCAAGGTAAAGATCAGTAATGACAGTAAGAAAATAGTCCTTTTGCCACCCATCGCTGTTGACAAAGGACACTCAGGGGAGCCTGCAGATATAAGAAAGTCGCTGCAGGACGTGCACGTTAAGACCCTGGCAGAGATCAAGCTGGAAAAGGCCCTGAGGGTACAGCAGAGCTCGGAGAGGGGCAGCAGCTCCCGGCCCCAGCCTGAGGCCACCCCAGGAACAAGGCAGCTGTTCCAGGTCCCCGGAAGCCCAAGCACGAAAGGAGAGAAGAACCTTCATGAAGACAGTGAAACTGCTTCTCAAAGCAGAGTTACTACAACACCAGCTAAGGAACAGCAGCCTTTAGATGAGGCTGTAGGAGTGGATACCACACTTCCAGTCCGGAGGTGTGAGACCCTGAGAGAGGAGCATATGCAGACACAGCAGAAGGGGGTCGCACCGCACGAGAAGTCAGCGTTGGCACCCTTTCAGGGAGACGCAGCCTCTTGCAGTGCCCACGTGGAGAGGACTGTGCTCACCGCTGTGGCAGGTGTCACATGTCACCCTACCGAGCTGCTTCTCACAAAGCCATGCCAAAAGATGGAGGTAGAAACCTCAGCGATTGGGGACTCAAAATTCAATATAATATATGCTCCACAGTCTTTGGCAAAAAAGGGTAAAGCTAAACCCAAAGTAAGTGTGAAACCATCTGGGGTTAAAGCTGTTCCATCTCCCCAGTGGCCCCAAAAACGCAAGGCCGTGGAGCTGCATCCTGATGAAGCTGCAGCTGTGAAGCCACTGAGCTCCATCAGTGCCCTGCAGGTGAGCCCCGCCAAAAGAGCAGCTGTGGCTATTGCTCCACCCTCTTCTGCCAACAAATCAGTCCCTGTGCCTGACAAAGAAAAACCTGGAGACGGTTTTGTGCTGCCTCCAAGCCAGTCTTCTCCAGACCTGTGGTCCCTGGAAGTATCTGGCCCTTCCTCATCCCAAATGGCCACAGAAACTTGCCAAGCCAGCTCTCCCTCCACAGGAGAACCCCCACTTCCCACAGACGATGATTTTGAGAAACTAGTACAGGAAATTTTAGGAGACAACTTAGAAGCTGTGATCGACTTGGATCTTGAGAAAGATGCAGACGAACTTCTGCTTGAACTCTCAGAACTGATTGACAGCTTTTAAAGGCGGTAGTGAGAGCACTTAAAAAACTCACCACTTACACCTAGTTTCCGTTCCTGTCCCTTGTAAACCTGAGAAGATTATTTCTTTATCCCTGAATTTATCCCAAGTCAGAAGTATAATTCTGAATTATCTACATGGATTTTTGGGGTTAGATTTTTCAAGTCTCTTGCTAACCATTTTGTCCATTTGATGCCATCGTTAAGCATCTTTGAGGAAAGAAAAAATTCTGTACTATCCTTCTTTCCAACAAAGAAAGAGACTGAGCCGGAGATCTAGAATGAAAAGATGGAAAAAACTTACTGATTCCTTGAGGTGTTTAAATGATTAAGAATAGCTGCTGCTATTGTGGTCTAAATTTCATGCTATCACTGAAAAGAAAAGGCTCAACACAATCTGAGCTGTCATATGTCTTTTTAATGGTATTTGGAGATTTTAAGTAAGCTTTAAAAAGTGTTTCTTGAGAAACCCAAAATATGGACACAGTTCTTTGCACCTGATTTTGATGCTTTAGTTGCTTCAAAAAGCAGTGGGCAACTTATTATGGCTGAAGTACTTAAAAGGGTTTTCAAGTGCTTCAGAGGTCTCCTGAGCCTAATATTCTACTTCTTGGATTCCCTGTATTTGGAGAATTCTTCCCTTCTTCATTATTTGCCTCCTATTAACTATCACTCATTCAAGCTACAGTTATTTACTGTGGACCACAGCAGTACACTGAATTTTTCTGTAGCACAGATTTTAATATATTCTGGGGGTGTATGGTATACCTTCTTCTTCTTCTTTTCTTTTTTCCTTGATGTGGGTCTCCATATCATCTCAAGGTTTAGGCTTATAAAGAAACCAGCACTATGAGGATAAAGGTTTGAAAGGAGAAATTGTGCAACATCAGGAGCAGGAAAGAAGAACTTTTGCATTTTGACATTTTGCTGTGGGTGGACACTGTGGTTCCTCCCAGGGAAACCGAGCCATCTGTCATGTTTGCTCCAGGGGAACCACTGTTTTAAGTATCCAATCAGGAGTGGAATTTCATGTAGCCTTGTTAGGAGCACAGTAAAGAAAAAAAAGGCCTAGGACTGCTCATTCAGTGTTGGAAAGATCTGGATGATTGTGTACAAGCAAAAATACAATTCATGTATAGGTGCACCTCTACCATTCTTTCTTTGGATGACTGTTATATATAATAGCTCCTTTTGAGGGTAGGGTGTGGAATGTTCTGGTTTAACTACAGATTTTATAAACTTTTAATTTTTAGAATCAGCTTATAGATTGGCAGTATCTTGTATATATAACTTGCTTTTTCTAAAAGAATAATGTTTTATATGTAAAATGCTTCTATTAGTCAGTGATTCATATTTAACATTTTTTCAGCCATTTGCTATCAAGAGAAATACTTATTTGTGTTTCAGACAAAACTGGAGTAAGAAAGGAGAGAGAAATGTGATGGTTGTCAGTGCATGTGACCAGGTATTGGTTGGCTTTACCGTAGCAGGTACCACTGAAGCAGTAAATTTCCCTGGTCTGATAGTTGTGGATACATTAGTGGTCATAATATAGTTGGTTACATTATATTGAACACTTTAGAATGACGAAGTTCCAGGATTCATTATTATATGCTCCCCATCATTTGGGGGTATGTAGAAAATAATACGGAAATGTTATATCTTTGTTTATTGACCAGGACCATGATGTGTATTCCAGTCAGTCTTGTTATTGCATAGGCTAAAAGAAAAATAAGGAAGATTTTCCATAAAGGCCGTTCACTGGATGTATTTTGTGTCATCTAAAAGGATGTAAAAATGATAGTAATGGAATCAAACATTTTGAGAAAAATGAGTCACTATCATTTCTTTGTAATATTTATTGCATATTATTTGTATTTAACTGTTATTTATATTAACTTGTAATTTACTTTGTCAAATAAATAAGTGAATTTATTTTGTGTTATCACTTCATAATAAATACTAAGTTAAATTTCTACATTTCATACCAGGAAAGGATTGATGTTATGCATTTCCAACCTTGGAGTAGAGAAACACATTTTCAGCAGTCACCTTTCTTTTTCTTATGTCTCTCTAAGTAATGTTAAAGAAACTTGTTTAAAACCCAAATCCCCAGAAAAGATCAGAGCACAGATAGTTTATTGACTGCGTATTGCAAAGATGAAATTTCCCAAATTTAAGTTGAAATTTATTCCTTTAGAGCCTTCTAGTAACAAAATTTCTTCAAAGGACAGGCCTCTTAGAAACTGTCCATGATGTGCATTCTGATTAGTAGCCTGAACTAACTGGCTACTTGAAGATCAGGCTTTGGCTAATCTCCAACTCAGATTAGGCTTTGTCAGCAGGAAATTTTTTACATCTTATAAAATTTCACCTTCTGTAAGCTATCAGCTATTTTCACTTGAAAATATGTTTATTTTCTTTGACTGTGTTCTCACCTGTAAAAGACTAGTAATGAGAATCTTGATATGAAAATTAATATAGGTGAAAATGTTTTGAATCCACAAAGTGCTACATAGGTGAAAATTTGAATAGATGATGGTAGGATGACATCGAGTCTGGAACCATAAACAAGCTGGGGTTCAACTTAGCTTTGCCATTTACAATGTGGTCTTGGGAAAATTACTATAATTTTTAATATGTCTTACGGGATTGTCGTCGGCCTTAAATAAAATAGTATGTATAATTCTTATTTTACTGTCTAGGACTTAGTAAACATTGAAAAGTGCTTATGCTTATTTCGATATTGATCATTATTATAATATTGCAAAAATGTTATTATTTAATGATCGTGTAATATCAAAGCAGGAAATTAAGAGTTTCGTGTCAAAAGTTCTTTGGTTTCTCTCAAAAATGAGATCTAGTGGGTTTCTCAGTTTGCCTCATACAATCCTGCCTCAGATATTAATACATTAATGATCTGTTATCTCAAATGCTTGGAACCAGAAATATTTCAGATTTTGATATGTTTCAGATTTTGGAATATTTGTATGTGCACAATGAAGTATCTAGGGATGAGGCTCATATCTAAATATGAAATTCATTTTTGTATATATTACATACATCACCCGAAGATGATTTCATACCATTTTTCATTGCACCTGGTTTTGTAACTCTGAGCTATTACACAAGGACAAGTGTGGAGTTCCCCACGTGTGGTGTCATACAGGTGCTCACAAATTTTGGTTTTGGACCATTTCTGATAAATGCATTAAGAATTACTATCAGTTCAAAGGCTGCAGTTTAGTTAACCTCTGTAAAGAATAGAAACATTTTCTTTTTCCCTTTAAACTATTTCCTTCCAAATTGCTCAAGCCAGTATTAATGTGTTTTGAATTAAATTACAGAATAAATAATATTTTAAAAATGGATGGTTATGTTTCTGAAAATTATACATGTTTTAGATTAGTAATATTAGAAACAATTTTAAAACTGCATGTATTTGTATATTACCTAAAGAAAAGTATAAGATTTGAAATTGATTACTTGTAGTTGAAAAGTTAATAAAATTGTCAGAGATTCAACATGGCTGAATAGAGAACCATGTTAATTTACTCAGAGAAAATCATCTAAAAACACAGTGGCTAGCTGGAACCTCTAGCAATGACAAGGTTAGGAACTGCAGCAGCAGCAGGGAAAGTAGTAATTGCTGTGATTCCAGCAGCATGAGAGGGACAGATGCAGGACTTGAGCTGCCTTAAGCCACAGTGAACAGTGAATGGGAAGTCACACCCCCCTGCCTGGCTCCCAGCAGTGGGAGACGTGAGGTACGAATTGCACTGGAACACAGAAGAACATGCAAGGACCAGGAGGGGTCAGCAGTGTACAGAATAAAAAGCAGCTGCATGCTGTCTCTGTCCGAGGACACTACAGCAACTGGGGAGTGACACAGAGACACACAGGGTAAGGAGATGTGGGTAGGCTGCTGAGGGACATACAAAGCTGCCAGATGAAAACCAGCGCCTTCCCTGCAGGTAGAGGCCAAGATCAGTCCTGCACCCAGCGCTAATCCCAGTGCAGATTTGGAGTTACAAAGCACAGATTTGGGCTCTGGCTTGAACACTACAACACAATTAAAGGCATCAGGAAAATTTCATTGTTTTTGTTTTTCTTTTGCTGTTTTTAATGGTTTTTGGGTTTAACTTTTATTGTTCACTTTGTTCATCTTTTTTTCCCTCTTTCCTTATTTTCTTTCTTGATATTTTTTTTTGAAAGTTTACAAAAGTATTTCATTGGAGAGTCATCTGAAGAATAATGAGTTGGGGGGAGGGGAAATGAAGCAGAGAAGAAAAGAGCCAATACAAGAACATGAGTTGATCCCTGCAATGGGAGACAAGGTGCTCAGTGAGAAGTCAAGTGTCCTGCTTATTTTTCTTTCATTACTGAGACAAAATACCCAACACTCAAAATTAAGGAAGGAAAGGATTATTTAGCTCATGGTTTGTGCAAGTTTCAGTCCATAATCAGCTGATTCCAGGGTGGCATGGCACAAGGGCAACACTTCAAGTTCCAGAAGACAGCAAAAGCAGCAAGAAAAAAAGTGGGGGAAGAACAAGCCTCTTTTCTCTCCATATATATATATATATATATATATATATATATATATATATATTTTTTTTTTTTAATTTAAGGAGAAAAAGAAAAAAAATAGGATAAAGTTATACAGAATTTCAGAAAACATAAACAGTAGGAAATCACTAGTTAATAGATTACATATTGTTATCTTAGAAATAGTTGTTCAAGTTACAAAATTAAAGCATATAAAGTGGATTTTAAAACAGTGAGACTACAAACAGTTTTGTTCAATGATCCAACAAAACTCAGTAATATGGTTATCTACCTTATACACTTAAATATATATGCAGTTATATTATTTAGAGCACTTTCTTTTCTTTTGTACAATGACAATTACAGATTTTGGGTTTTATTATTCCCACACTTCTTATTACTTTTTATTGAAGACAGTAAAACCAAATGTGCCATAACAGAACAGAGTCAGTCAAATCAAAAGGATGGACATAATAGATAATGTAAAAACAAAATACTAGGTGATCACCAATGGTTACCATACTGCCTCTTGCTATCTTAAAAAGAATTGCCTACATTATCAGTTATAATAAAATTGAACAAAACAATAAAGAATAAAACCAAAACATTGGAGACATTACAGGACTTTAAAAGAAGACAATAGTCAACCAGAACGGGCGTCATAATGAATCTTACTGTCTTCACAGTTTTGCCTATACTTTCAAACTTGGTACTATCAAGCAAAGCAGAATAGAGAAAAATCAGGCAAAGCAAGATGGTGAGGGCTATACAGGGTTTCAAATCAAGTTAATAGGAAATCAAAGTGGGTTACTATAATGTATCCTGCTTTTAAAATTTTTCCCATAATTAAAAGATAAAAATAAAAAAATAATTTTAAAAAAAGGAGATTGAGATAAAAGAGGGAATAACAACAAACCAGTGCAGGTCAAAGCATAACCATTTAAGCAAAATAGTGTTTCACCACAAGATATCCTGACATAAAAGTAGTTACCATAGTGTCTCTTTCCTTGAAATCTTTGAGTATAAGTTTGTATACTGTAGCACCAAACATATCAAGACAATGTAAAACCATTCAAGAGAATGACAGTATTACAGGGTATTTAGAACCAACTATCAGAAAATAAACAATGGTTTCTGTATAATCTCCTTGTCTATAAAAGTTTTTGCTTATATTATCACAGATAGTAAAATCCAATAAGATACAACCTGTTAAGACCAATGGAGACAGAAGAATAAAAGCTTGATGGGACTTCAAAGCAAGATGATACTAAATCAGCACTAGATATTATGATGTCTTGTTTTCTCCAAAATAGCTGTTCCTACCATCCAATCTTCTCTGCCTCATTTCTGTTGAGCTCTTTTTTGGTCGGTCATTGTCAGTTTGTCTTCATTTCTCTTTCTGCTCCATTCATTGTGGCCTCTCTGCCACTGTTTCTGGGATCTTGGTGTTTTCCTTTTTTAGAATATCCTGAAGTATTCTCTGTAGAGTTGAATTGGTGGTTACAAATTCCCCTAGTTCCTCTTTATCCTGAAAGCACCTTGTTTTTCCATCAATTTCTAGGGACAGTTGTGCAGGATATATCAGTCTTGGCTGGAGGGTGTTATCTTTCAAAGCTTGAATTATTTCCCCCCAGGCTCTTGGTGATTTGATGGTTTGTGCCGAAAAGTCTGCTGTAATTCTGATAGGTGTTCCCTTGTAAGTGATCTGTTTCTTGTCTCTGATGGCTTTTAGTATTTTGTTCTTATATTGGATTTCTGAAATTTTGGATATTATATGCCTGGGTGTAGCTCTGTTTGGGTTGTAGGTGGCTGGGGTCCTGTATGCCTCATACATCTGAGTATCTTTACCTTTTGCTAAATTAGGGAAATTTTCTTGGATTATTTCTGTGAATAGCTTTTGTAGTCCATTTGTTTGTGTCCCTACTTCTTCTTTTATGTTCTTAATTCTTAAGTTATAGATCCTCTTATCATCTTCTGGCCTTTGTATTATTGCTGTTTGTTTTCTTGTTATTTTTAAGAAATTTTTCATTTCATGCTCCCATATTACAAATCTGCCCTCCAATTCAGATAATCTCTCCTTAGTTTCTTTCAAGCTGTTATGCCAGCTTTTGATAGAGTTTTTAGTTGCTTGGTAATCTCTTTGAACCTGCTTCATATATTCTATATTTTCTCCATCAAACAATTCTCCCCTTTTTTTCTGTTCTTCCATTCCACCATCTGTTTTTTCTTGGGCGGTGCTTAGCATTTTCTCTAACTATTCTACTTATATCTTGCTTTATTTCATTAAATACTTCATTTTTAAACTCGTCTATGAGGCTCTGGATATATCACTTTATGTCTATTGGTGCCGTGTGTGATATTGCATGTTTTCTGTCTTCCTTTGCATTTCCCTTTCCTGAATCAGTGTTCTCAGGATTGGGGACTGAGAACCCTTTCTTGTTGCTTCCTCTTCCCATACTTTTTGTTCCTTCCATACAAGCGAATGTAGGAGGCCCAGTTTTTTTCTCTTTGCCGGTTAGTTTGTTTCCATCCACTGCAGTGTACTAGGGAGACACAGACCTCCACAGCCTCTGCTGGGCCCACCCCTCCAGGTCAACCTATCAAAGGCTTCACCACTCGGGTGCACCTCCAGGTGCTGGGACTTGGTTTGGGCTAGCCCACTGCATCTTAGTCAGCCGGTCCCGCAGGCCAGGCACTTCCCACCAATCCCGCTTGAGAGAGGAATATGCAGCTAATGTCACTGCAGCGTCCTGTTCCAGCAAGTCTGCCTGGTCCCAGTATGTCTTTGCTGGAGCCTCCTACTCTATGAAAGGGTCCACGTTCCGCTCACTCAACGCAAGTCGATGTAGGGCTCCCTGATAGTCCCGCTCTCAACTCCGTTCGCAGATTCCCACTCTCAGAGGTTTCATGTGTCTCTCTCCCTGCCCTGCAGATTTGGATGCAGCAACACAGCAGGAAATTCAAACTGTGGCTTCCAGTGGTGCGGGTTCTAGCTTCCCACAATGAGATTTTATCTGTTCCTGTTATAGCACCAGGATTGGATTTCCAGTTCGTTTCTCTTAGCTTAGTTCATTCCTGGGTTGGCAGGGTATATCTCCCCTTGCTTAGGACTTCTCATACCACACCATTCCTGGATTTTAAGCAGGATATCTCAGAGAGCTGCCATAGCTGCTGCTATCTATCTGCCATGTTCTCCCCTTTCTTGATATTTTGATATTTTTTTTTTTAATTTTATTTAAGGAGAAAAGAAAAAAAAAGGAGAGAAAGGGTACAAGTTATACAGATTTGCAGAAAAACAAATGAACAGTAGGAAATTACTAGTTAATGGATTACATATTGTCATCTTAGAAATAATTGTTCAAGTCACAAAATTAAAGCTTGTAAAGTGGACATTCCATCAATGATACTGCAAACAGTTCTGTTCAATGATCCAATAAAACTCTGTGATACGATATTCTATCTTATACACTTAAGTATACATGCAGTTATATAGTTTAGAGCACTTTCTTTTCCTCTCTTTTGTACAATGACTATTACACATTTTGGGTTTCATTGCTCTCACGGTTCTTATTACTTTTTTTGGAAGAGAGTAAAACCAAATGTGACATAACAGAACAGAATCAGTCAAGTCAAAAGGGTGGACATAAGAGATAATGTGAAAACATAATACAAGGTGATCAACAGTGGTTACTATAATGCCTCCCTCTATCTCTAATAGAATTGTCTATACCATTAGTTATAATACAATTGAACAAAACAGTAAAGGACAAAACCAAACCATTGGAGACATTGTAGGTCTTCAAAAGTAGATAAAAGTCAACGAGAATGGGCGTTATAATGAATCTCATTATCTTCACAGCAGGTTTGAAAATTTAGGCATCAGCTGTGAAGATATTTTGATATTTTCATGTGAGTAAATATTGTCTCTACTGTCTCTGGTTATTCAATATTATTTTTGCTTTCTCTTTCATTGTTTCTCTGTGTCCTCTTCTCCAGTTTCCCAAAGCTTGTGTGATCATCCTTTGTCTTTAAGCCTGCCTCTGCTGTCTTTAATTAGCTCTATCTTTTCCCTGATATCTTTTAAGCTCTCTTACCCCCTACTCCCACACATACTTATTGTAATTTCACTCTACTAAGGGGTAATTCATACCATACAAGCTCCTAGTTTTTGTTGAATTTTTTATTATATAATTGTAGGTTGTGCTTCTATGGCTAAAGGTACCAAATTAATAGCTACCACAGTTTAACAGTTTCTAGGCTGTGCTTGATGCTATTGTTATTGCTAATTGTAGTACATTAGCCAGAGTGTCATACTTGTCATAATCTGTTGTTGTCTTTGGATGACAACACTCTGACTGTCTAGGGTCATAATAATCACCATGGTCTAGTACCAAAGGACTGGGTACTGAGCTAAATAGCAATTTCTCTTCTCTAAAAAACTGGGAAGATAGGATCTTCAGACAGACAAAAGGTCTTAAGAGCCAGCTACACCCAAAAGATATATCTAAGGAATAAACATTTCCTACAGAAGCCTCAATACTAGTACTAAAGCTGCCTATCATAAGCAATTTACAAATATCAATACAGGAAAATTAAATTATAAAAAATAGAAAATGGCAGGACACAGAAACAAAACTCTTCCAGTCTACCCAGGACAAGTCCAGAAGAGAAGAAGATAGAAGAATTTCAAATTTACCCCAAAATAGAAGAAATAAAAATCTACCCACCTGAATTTTCTGAAATAGTAATAACAGAGTACAAAAACAGATGGGTGAAGCTGTAGAAAAATTCAGATCAGAAATAATGTCTTAGATAAAAAAGTAAAACAGAGAGATGATGATCCAAATGAAGGACTTGCTTGTGGTTCTAGAGTAGACACAGATAAAATAAATTGAGAGGCCTAGGAAAATGATGGAAACCATGAATTCCCGACATATAAAGGAAATGGAATCCATGAAAAAAATTAAAATATATTCAAGAGATTAAAAATTCCATTGAAATTATATACAACTGATTGAAACAAGGTAAGAATTGAACATCAGATCTAGAGACAGAAGTATTGTTAGCCATCATGAAAATAAAAATTTAAAAGTATCGAAGGACCATGGAAAATCAATCCATGAGTTGCAAGATGATCAAAGAATAACAACGAAAAGATATGCTGCAATTAGTGACAAATCAGGAGATTGTGAAAACAGCATAAAAACTCATTCACAGAAGTAATGGCAGAAAAATTCCCAAGCATGGAAAAATAATTTGACATTCAAATAAGTGAGGCATATAGAACTTCAATATCCATCACAAAAATAAGTATATATTAAGACATATGATAAGATTCCAGAAATTCAGCACAAGAACAGAATATTAAAAACTGTTAGAGAAAAAGACAATAATCACCTATAAAGGAAATCCCATCAGAATCACAGCAGACTTCGCAACACAAAATCTTAAATCAAGAAGAGCTTGAAGTTCAGTATGTCAAGTCCTGAGAGAAAATATCCTCTAACCTAGACTGATGTACCCTGAAAAACTGTCTTTCAGAATCAATGGAGAAATAAGACACTTCCATGATACAGAACAGCAGAAGAAATTCATGACCAGAAAGCTGGCTGTGCAAAAGGTTCTAAAGAATATTTTAGAAAGAGATAATGGAACCCATAATTCCAAGAAGATCAATTTAAAAAACCACCAGGCAAGGCAAGTAATTAGACAGAGTGGAAAGACAAGGAATGAACAACAGGAAAATAATGTGACAAGGATAATGCAGTATAGACCAGTTATAATAATCAATGTAAATCATCCAAATAAACTAATCAAAAGAGACTGGGAGAATGGATCAAGAAACAAGATCCAACAAAGTGCTGCAGGGAAGAAACACATTTAACTCAAAAATAACTTTATAGATTAAAGATCACAAGATGGAAAACATACTCCATGTGATAAGAACCTGAAAAAAAGCAGGGATAACTATTCTATTTGCAGACAAAGTAAAATTCAAGCCAACAGTGATCATAAGAGACAAAGAAGGTCCGTACATACTTATTAAGTGAAAATTCCAAGAGAAATACATATCAAACACATGTATATGCATTGAAAACAACAATATAAAATAAGTATTAATGGACATGAAAAATCAAATAAGCACCAGTACAACTATAATGGGAGACCTTAATACCCCACTGTCAGAAGTAGATCAACTAGACAAAAAATATCAGCAAAAAAATCATAATGGAACTAAACTTTTATACTAGTTTTCTGTTTGTATTGTATGTGAAGATATAGACAACTATTTGGAAGAAAACAAGAGAAATTATGGCAGTCACTGTTGATTTCCTGTTGTCTTGTTTGTTTTGTGTTGTTTGTATTGTACTGTTCTAATTTGCTTTGTTCTGTTTGTTTTATTTTATTAAAAAAATTTAAATTGGGTTTAGTAGATGTCTTTCACCCCCCAATATCAGAATCCATATTCTTTTCAGCTACACATGGGATATTGTCCAATGAAGACCATGTACTAGTTCATAGAACATTCTTTAGTAAATACAAAGGAATGAAGTTGGAAATCAGTAGCAAAAGAAAACACAAAAACTTCATAAACACATAGATTTTAAATAACAACTTCCTCTACAATCAATTGGCCACAGATAAAATTAAAGAAGGAAGTAAACAGTTTCAACACACCATAAATTATGAGATGCAATAAAAGCAGTTCTATGATGGAAATTTATAGTGGTTAATTCTCACATCATGAAAACAGAGAAAGTTCAAATAAACAACCTAATGTTGAACCTCAAAGTTCTAGAAAAAACAGAACAAGTTGAGCCTAAAACTCATACAAGGGAGGAAATTATAAAGATCAGAGCAGAAATTATTGCACTTAAAAAATGCAAAAACATCAGTTAATCAAATAATTATTTCTTTGAAATAAACCCTTAGCTAACTTAATCAAAAAATCAAAAACAAGTTTCAAATCAATGCAATTAAGAATGAAGTGAGTGAAATCACAAAAGATCTTGCAAAGAGAGAGAGAAAGAGGAAGAAGAAGAGGAAGAAATAAGGAGAGGGAGAGGGAAAGGGGAAAGGAGCAAGAGAGAGAGAGAGAGAAAGAGAGAGACAGAGAGACAGAGAGAGAGAGAGAGAGAGAGAGAGAGAGAGAGAGAGAGAGGCAGAGGGAGACGGAGAGGGAGAGGGAGAGGGAAAGAGAAAAATTCAGAAAATCTTCAATACTTACTCCAGGAACTTTTATTCTAATAAGATGGAAATTAACAAAAAAAAATGGGCAGATTCCTAAAGACATATATATATCTAAAATTGAATCAAGAAGATATAAAAATTCTAAATAACCCAATATCAATCAATGATATTGAGGATATAATTAAAAGCTTTTCAACAAAGAAAAACTCAGGTCATGATGGACTCACTGCTGGATTCTACAAGAAATTAAGAGAAGATCCAATATTGCTACTTCCCAAACTCTTATAATGAAACTGAAAAAGAAGTAATACTCCCAAATTCATTCCTCGAAGGAAGCATTACTTTGATACCAAAACCAGTGAAGAATCCAACCAAAAAAGAAAACTGCAGGCCAGTCTCCCTAAATAACATAGATGCAAAAATTTTCAATAAGATATTGGCAAACAGACTGCAGGAAATTCTCAAGAAAAGTATATGCCATGACCAAGAATGATTCATCCCAGGGATGCAGGGTTGGTTCAATACACACAGATCAACAAATGCAATATGTCAACAGAGCCAAAGACAAAATCACATAACCTCTACAGATGCAGAAAAAGCATTTGATTAAGTCCAACACCCATTCATGATAAAATCCTACAGAAAACTGAAATACAAAGTATTTATTTAAAACTGTTACAGGCTATCTATGACGAACTAACAGAAAACCACATCCCAAATGGCTCAAAACTGAAATCTTTCATTCCAAAATCAGGAACAAAGCCTATTTTATATAGTTCTGGAATCATTAGCTAGAGCAATTAGACAAGAAAAAGAAAAGGAATAAGGGTAGGAAGGAAGATAATTTATCATTATTTATTCCTCTATCTAATCCTTTGAAAACTATATTATCTTCTGAAAGTTTCATTTTGGTTTTCCAATTTTATTCAGAGTCTGTGTAGATTTACTTTTTATCATGAATTGAGGTTGAAATTAATTTTATTTTTTCCTTTCATTTTCCACAAATATCCAGTTGACTCAGTGACATTTGTTTAAAGACTATCATTTTGTAATATTAGGAAGACCTGTTTTTGTAATAAACCAAGTCTTTGCATCTAACTCTGTGATATACATATATATGGCATAGGATAAAAGTGATATGGATGTTAGTTTTCTTAGCCATCAAGAGTGTTTAGATCATTTTTAAGGTCATGAACAAAATGAATGTCATTCTGCACATATTTTGTGCCATATAATACTTTTATAACATACATTATTTAATTATAGAGGGTACATACTAATGGTCATCATAATACATTATTCATACTTGTGTAAGGCGTACTATAGTTTTATGTAAACTAACCTTTTCTATAATGGACTAATCTTTTCTAGATCTCTCATTCAAAAACAAAACAGGGATCATGTAACCTTGAAAGACAGTATTGTATTCTAAGAGCAATTGAGACACCCTTAGTGGTTTAGTGCTCTACTGCTCAAAGCATAATTTGTAGACTATCAATATCACCACAACACACAGCTTGTTGTAAACGTAGGGTATCGAGTGCTGTACCAGCCTACTGAACTGAAATCTAGGATTAGCAAGATCCCTGATGCATATTGAATTTGAGAAGTAATGTTTTATTACATGACATGAAACAAATGGAGACTAATAATATTTTCTAAAGAGGACATGTTTTATGGTGTTGTATGAGTTTCTATTTCCATCATCTTTATGATATGTATAAGAGCTATGAAAATATAGAAAATGTAGATGAAGGCTACTAATTGTAAAGTCCTCATGAACCAAAATATCACTGACACGTTTTTTGCAAATGCTTACTACTTTCAAAAAATACATACACTTTATTTCTTTAAGTGTCTACGTTAATGTCATAAAATAGCAAAAATGAAGATGTCACTGTGTGTGTGTGTGTGTGTGTGTGTGTGTGTGTGTGTGTGTGTGTGTGTGTTACAGTGAGGCTTAGGAAAGTTGAGTGACTTCTCAGGAACATTGTGTTCATTCCCAAATTTTAGTGGTCTTGCCACAGTACATATGGCTTTGTAACTAATGTTACAAGGAGAGAAACTGTCAAAAATTATGTGATCAGTACTAGTTATCTAAAGGAGCTTTGGGAAAGCATGAATAATCTAAATGTTAGCTGAAATTTAATCTTTTCTTTTTTCTTCTTTCCCTGTTTACAAGTGGTAGAAAGCTTGGCCCCTACCAAACAAACAAACAAATAGAAGACAAAGTCAGTCAATATACCGAACCTGTGTGATTGCATTTTGGTTTCTACATTTGTAAAATGTCCATTCCTGTTCTTCTGTTGCTATCCTATGTGAATTTTGCTGAGTTCCAGGTCTGTGGAAGCTCAGAGGCATACAGTTGACATATGAAAGTGCTTCACCTGCTATCATACAATTTAACTCAGCTACCTGATGACATGAAGTCATTCATGTGCCTGCCTGAGCAAACCATAGGCTGCTTCTCTTCAGTGTGTCTTATGTGAGGCATGAATCTTGGGTCTAACCCACATATTTCTTAGCTGGGGGTATGTGATTAGGGTCTGCTACATCAGCAGCAGAGTAAGGGATGTATTAGTAAACCATTCTCTCCGTCTGTCTTTTTCTTCATGTTCCCAGTTGCCAGGATCTTCAAATGGACATTTCCGTTCTCCAGGAGCAGATCTCACATTTGCAGTTTGTGATTCACTCCCAGCATCAGAACCTGCGCAGCGTCATCCAGGAGGTCAGACTAACCACGTGTGTTTCTTTCTTTTTTTTTTTTTATTTTATTTAAGAGGAAAAAGAGAAAAACACAAAACAAAACAAAGCAGTGTAAGGGTACACGTAATACAGAACTACAAAAAAAAAATAACAGTAAGAAATCACCTGTTAATAGATTACATATTATCATCTTGGAAATAGTTGCTCAAATCACAGTATCAAAGAATACAAAGTGGACATTCAAACAGAGAGACTGCAAACAGCTGTGTTCAATGATCCAAAAACATTAATATAATCAGCTATTTAACACCCCTAAACACACTTGCTGTTATATACGTTAGAGCTCCTTTTTTTCCCCTCTCTTTTTTACAACAAAATTTACACATTTTGGATTTTATTAATCCTTAGTTCTTATTACTTTTTTGGTGGGGAGAGAATAAAGTCAAATATGGCAAAACAAAGCTGTCAGTCAAAACCAAGGATAGACATAGCACATGATGTAGAACAGAGTACAAGGTTATCAACAATGGTTATCAACGTTGTCTCTTGTTTCCTTAAAAAGAATTGTCTATCTCATTAGATATTATAAAGTTGGACAAAACAGTAGAAAACAAGACCAATAAAACTTAGGCATTGTAAACATTACAGGACTTCCAAAGGAGACAATAGTCAAACCAGAATGGGCATCTTAGTGAATCTTATTGCCTTCAAAGTAGTTGCCTTTACCCTCAAACTTGATACTATCATACAGAATGGAACAGAGTCTAATCAGTCAAAACAAGGGTGGGAGTATTATAGGACTTCAAAACAAGTTAATAGGAAATGAAAAAGAGTTACTATTATATATCCTAATTTTTAAAATTTTTCCCCTTAATTAAAACAAACATAAGAAATAACTAAGTAATTTTTTTAAAGAATAAGGGAGAGATTGAGATAAAACAGGACATAACAATATAACAATACAGGTCAAAGCATGACTGTTTCAGCAACCTAGTGCTTTACCACCAAATAACCCGACTTAATAGTAGTTGCCATAGTGTCTGTCTTTTTCCTTGAAATATTTGGATAAAACTTCATATACTATAGCTTCAAATATTTCCATATCAAACCACGTGTGTTTCTAGATGGCGTATTTATCATGTGAAGTCCAAATATGAGCAGCATGTCTAGTCTTCAGAAATAACAATGCTTTTCTCCCTGCTGACATATCTTTTTGGTTTCTCTTGTGCAACCTCAGTGCCTTCTCTTGTCTTTAACACCAACACCTGCCCTACTCTTATTAAGGACAGTTTTTGGATGTTTTATTTACCTGTTTCAAAGTGTTTTGTTGATTTGTGTGGAAGTATTCTGAGTCAGATACTGCTCTTTTGTTTGACTATTCATATATCAGGAAAGTCAGCTCCTTCCAGAGTAAGAAGTTATCTGATTTTATAATCTCATAAAATGTAAGTTTACTTTGGTTGGAAAATAGCTTGGCTCTTCTCTAAGAACAAGCTGACTGGTGAAAAAACAGAGACAATAGTAGACTGCCAGCCAGATGTTGGACTGCATGTGTATGCAATATCTACTTCCAGATGTGCATCCAAAATCAGACCTCCATTTGATGTTTTTACTTCATACTTGATATCTGTTTACTAAAGGAGTCTTTCTCCATCATTCCAGTGCCTTCCTGACATAAATGTGGCATTTGCACTTTCTTGCCTATGATCTCACCAAAAGTCTGTAAAGTTTTGAGATTTGAGAGTCGGGAGGAACTTTGGGAGTATCCCGCCCTTTCATTTTACAGATGAGTAAGCCAAGGCTTAGAGAGGTTCAGTGACAGCTGAGAGTGAGAGATGGCTTTAGAATCCACGTGTGCCCTCTCTTCTAGCACCGTTCTGCACAGCATCACCCCTCCCACAGTTTTATGTGGCCTCTTGGCAAAGCAGGCTCGTCTCCTCTTGCTGCTGGCTGACAAGTTCTCCACCTATGGAAGCCTGAGCATGACAGGCAGGGCCCTGCCTTGTTTCTATCAGCATTCACATTTGGGAGACGGCCCATTAAGTTGCTGATATATCTAAGATGACCAGCGATACTTTTCACAGAATGCGCTCTGCCAAATTTGGTGTAAACAAGTTATCCAGAGATTGAAATGGCATCAATTGTAGTGCTTTCCTTCCCAGCTGCCAATTTTGCCTCTGCTTTTCTGGAGCCTGCTGAGTCTGTTAATGCCATGAGAGTTCATGTTTTTATTTGATAACATCATTTGACCTCAGAAAGCAGTATACATTTTCTGACTTAAGTAACTAGTCCCTGTAGACTGACAAGATTTTTTTCAACTGTTTCCTAACTGTTAGATGGAAGAATTAAAAAATACTCTAAAAGAACAAGATAAAAGAATTGAAAATCTGAAAGAAAAGATCAACAAACTTGAAGCCCAGGTAAGGAGAGAATCTATGGTACATGTCAGTGTAAGCATGTGTGCATGTGTGCGTGTGTGTGTGTGTGTGCGTGTGTGTGTGTGTTTATTGATGAGTCTCTGTATGGATGTATTGCACGTGCTCAACATGATTGTATGCCTTGGTATAGTGCCTGTGTGACACTATACCTGAACATGTCCACGTGAATGCATGTGACTGTATTTGAGTGTCTATTGTGTACCTTTATGTGAAGTGTACAGGTGTCTCCTAATGAGTCAGTGCATGTGTATGTTCTATTAAATTACTATTACTATTAAATACTATTACACATTTAAAATATAGTATTAAATTATTACTGTTATAATCACTCTTTATTAAATAAGTATTAAACAAATTGTTAAAATTTCAACCAAAGTTTTGTAGAATACTGTACTAGTGTAACAGAGGATGCCCTCTTTCAATATGGACTTCAGCTGGAAACTTGTTCAAGGCTCCTGCTTTGTTAGTTCTGCTCTAGCCAGCTGGCCAAACTTCCTGCCTCCTGCCCTTTTCTCATACATGTTTCTTTACAATCCTGAGATATCCTCTTCTCTCTTCTTTTTTCATCTCCATCCATCCTGCTATCTAAGTTTTACCTAAGGGCTCATCTCACTTTCAGAAGTCGAATGTGACTATATTGCTTTTCAATATTTTGGTGTTTTGATTTTCTGCTTGGTATCCACCTGCTAGTGTTGGCCTTTCCTGTGGAGACAGATGCTCTGACTTCCGCTGGAAACCTCTCTCATGTTTTGGAACTTTTACCCTCCCCAGGCTGGACCAGAGAGGAGCATCACAGTATGCCCCCACAACTTGGTCTTGCCAGCCTTTTCATTACCATGTTTTTCTTGATTGCCCAACCAGAAGATAAATAATCATAATACATAGATTGTAAATATTTTATTCCTTTGCTTAAGTAGCTCTGTTTCCATTTTCTCTCTTTCTGGGGACTACTATTCTTTTCTCATTCTAGAGGAGAGAGCTCCTTAATTCTCATGCCTTGCTAAGGCTCTCTCCTTATGGATTATGGAATCAGTTACTGAATTAAGACACTGCTTGTGGCTCTATACAGATGAAAATATAGTGATTTTAGAATTATAGGCTCAAATCTAGTGGTCTCTCAGGTGACAGATAATGGATTTTTTTGGTCAAAGAATCTTGAGATTATGTGATTCATTAAATCTTGAGTCTCTTCCTCCTAAACAGTGCTCTGAAAAGAAATTTCTTCAGTCTTTCTTATGAAGTGGTCAATTGGAAAATGTTACTTGATAAGATGCCTTTTCTATATGAATATATTAATATATTTTATGTGTTAATGTTGTACCATGTGTTACTTTCAAAACATATATATATATATATATATATATATATATTCATGTGTTCCATATAAATTGAGGCAGAAGGATAATGAAATAGACTAAGAAATCACTCAAGAAGATACCATCCACAGGGAAATACTCAGCAAAGTTGTCTATATTTCTGTGAAAATCTGTTTTCCTGTTATATACCTGTCTGTACACATTAAAATTATAGAATAGATATATATATATATTCACATTATATTGCAATTTAAAAATTTTTAGTTGTTTTATTCATTTGTTCACATTAATGATTATATAATTAGTTCCACAAGAATTTGCTGAATGATGTTGTGGTTTAGATCCAAAATGTACCCTAAAGCCTCATGTGTTTGGAAGGTGATTAGATTGTGAGGGTACCACACTCCTAAGCAGAATCACCCACTGCTGAGTTCAGTAGCTGAGTGCACTGTTTGGAGATGGGGTCTGGTTGGAAATGGGCCAATGGGGACGTGGCCTGGGAGGGTGTACTCTTATTCCTGGCTCCTTCTGTCTTTCTCTGATTCCTGGCCATCATGGGTTGAGCACCTTTTCCTCCACTGTGTCCTCCTGCTCTCCTGTTTATACCTTGGATCCAGTCAACGGTGGACTGAAACTGTGAGCCAAAATAAACCTTTTTTCCTTTAAATTGTGGGTGTTGGATATTGTGTGTCAGCTCTGGGGAAGTGATTAAGATAAGTTACTACTATGACATAGGCACTTATTCAGAAAAATAGTGTTAAAACAGAGTAGACATGAGCCCTGCACTCTGGAGTTTATTGACTAGTTGTATGAATTTGAAATACCCATGTATTCTATATTTTTATGTTAGAAATTTTTCCAATACCTTGTCAGTATATTTTGGTTCCAATACCATACTGCTTTAGTTATTGTGGATATTTTCTTAGTATAGGCATCTTTCTCTGATATTTCACCTCATTATCATCCTGGGTGCTCGTCCTACCTAATCACAGAGTCAAAACCCCAATAGTGCTATTGCTGCTAATTCAATTTTATGTTCTTTGGTTATATCTGTTTATATCATCCTCGAAACAGATTTTATTACCCTAAGTAAAATGCAACATATCCCAGATGGTGTACAATAATCCAGTTGACTGTTTGGCTGTCTGTTCCTATTGTACTTTGCTTTTATATCCCAAGCTCAGCAAACAATTGCTGATTTGCTGCTCGGTGGTAATAGCAACAGTTTTACTTGTGTTTCTCTCCTGGATCTTTGGTCTGCTGCAGACTCTTCACAGTGATGTGACAGCACCTCTCTGTGTTGTCCTAAATTCTCTGGTGTAGCTTACCCTGCCCAATGTTTTCTAATATGTTATTTTATAAATAAGACTTTAAAAAGCAGCAGTATCTGATGAGTGTCTTTGTGATCTCAAGATGTATGTACCTCGGTAGATAAATCTTTTGTCAGCCATGAATGCTATCATGTCCCTTTGAGCTTTAAAAACTGCAAATCATGTTAATCTATGTATTAGGCAAGTATTTTTGTGTATTTATGAGGTACCAGGAAATGTTATAAGTGCTGGGTCTGGCTGTCTATGACTATATCTTGCTTACATTTAAATTGTGGGTTCAGATAAGCAAGGAAATGTACTGCTTAATTTGGGAATGCTAAGTAGTTAAACAAGAATTGGGCAGTGGAGGGGTCAGAAAGCAACAGGGGTCAGGGAGGGTGTCACTCAGCAGGTGTTATTTGACCAGTGCAGAGAGTGAGAGAGCCACTGTGCCTCAATTCCTAGCCTCTGCCCAGTGAGTGCTTGAGTGTGAAGTGTATAAACTACGCTGATACATGCAAGGGTGTTTTAGCCTATATTGCAAATTTAAGATCACTCTGTTTTGATATTTATTAAATAAAAGATGGATTGACTCAGTTCATGAAAAATAGCCTGCAAAACTTGAATAAACCTTTTAAATATCAGTTTTCTAGGCCATATAAAAAGCATCATTTTTCATCTATACTTAAACACTCGCTTTGTTTTTACACACACTACATACTACACACTGCATACTACATACTTCATTTTCTGATCTGTAATCAGACATGTTATCCATTATGCTGCTGGGTCATATTTCATTTTGTTTAATCCTCAAAGCTATCCCAGGGGAAAGTTATTATTCACCATGGTTTGCAAGTAAGAAAACCGAGACTCAGGATAGTTAGGAAACTTATTCAGTATCACTCAGTTAGCAAGTGGCCAAACATGGACACAAGTTGACAGGAAGCATGTGACTACCCCCAGCCCCGTGTCTGCTATCTGCTTATCTGGGTGATCAAATAAGTGTGTGTTTGTGTGTCTGTATGCAAGACATATGTGTACCATGGACAATGTATATTTTCAGGTGAATGGTTATAACATTAAATTTTCACAGCAATTTATGCTTATTTTAGCCATTGTTATAGTGGTTATGTTGAATATTTTTGCTTTATTCCTAGTTTTCACATCATGGAAAGAAATGTTCTTTTTCTGTGGTATTCTTTGTATCCTAGCATGTTTCTCTTCCCTCTAAATTAATTTATATAACTTACTTTAAAAAAAAAACTTGAAGTCTTTTAAACCTATTTTAAATATCAGATATTTCCTGCTTAACTTTCCCTAAATTATTTACTGTCTGTCTACTTTCTTTACTCTCTTTCATCATCATAATTTACAACTGTGAATTTCATCTTATATCTCATGCATATCTAACTTTTTCACTAATAATCTGCTATTTGAAAATGACATCTTCTGAAATTATATCATTTTCTAAATCTCTAAGACTTATCCCACTTTATATAAGCACCACTATCTTTAAAATTTAATTCTTAGAATTTGTGTTGATAAAAGATTATATGTGCAAAGAAACATTATTTTGGAAAATTGTGTCAATGAACTATCCTAGCATAAAGTCATAATAATGACAAGCCTATCTGACCACTTATTTGTAGTTTTGTAAATGACTGAGATCGTGAAATATGAATGTCCTACTTAAAGAAAAAATGTAGAAAAGGCTATGAATTAAGAATAGAAACGATCTGGAACAAATCAATGTGGAAGCTGAAATAAATTGAAAAGGTCATATATAATAACTCACTCTTTTTTATTGTTTGGGACTCCTCAGCTTGAGAGAGTAGAAGCTTATTTTGGAAAACATCCAAACAGCTTCTATATAATTAACCAATCACACAATATCCTTAGTTCAGTCATAGCTGTCATCACACTATTGCATTTCTCCTTACTTTTTAACTGTTAAAATACTAAATGTGGGAGGGTTTTTTTCGAGTCATATATATGGCCTGTGATACATAGCTACATTTGTTTGGAGTGTATGTGTGATTTATCTCCATTATATGAGCAGCATCTTTCTTATCAATTAATCAAATCTGAAGTATATTTCCTGGATGAGATTTAAATGAATAACTCTTGAAAGAGCACTGTGAAATGATTAATGTGTCTGATGATGTTGGCTCTATCTTATAGTTATTATGCAGTATGGATGCTAGGAACTGAGATGGGGGGAAAATTCCACATCTTCATTCTGATTCCAGCCTTCACCAGTTTTTCATCTTGGCTGTGCATTAGAATCCCCTGCAGAATTTGGAAAACACCTGGACCCAGTCTACAAATAAATGAACAAAATTTTGGGGTAGGGACTCAGATATCCATCAGTTTTAAAGCTCTCTTTGCAATTCTAATGCATAACCAGAACTGAAATCACTTTATCAGCCCTGGGTTCTCCACCATGAGCAGACCTCAGAGCAAACTGATAAGCTCCTTCCTGTGCCCCAGCAGGCACCCAGGTAAAGGTTCAGTAAGCCTGGCTGAGGATTGAGGATTTGTATGACTAACAAGTATGCAGGTGTTACGAGTTAAGAACTGGTGGTCAACTTAATGCCAGCTGGCTTACATCAACATGGCATTGATTGAAGATGCTCCACCTGAGGAAAAGTTGCCAGGATAAATAGGTGGAGAAGAAGGGAGGTGTTGAGTGTTGATGCATTAAAGAGGCATTGTGGGTTCTCCTATGAGTTGCTGTCTGAGCTGTTGGTTCTCCTGGAGAAGCTTTAGTCCTCACATGGAGCATTGCTTCCTGGCTCCAGAGGGAAAGACATGTGCTGCTTGGTCTCAGGGTGAACTCGTCATGCTGCTTCCTGGCACGTACCCGACTGTGCTTGTCGTCAGAGGAGCTCGGGGCCTCCATGTCGCTGAGGACAGCTGTGGTGCCTTTCAGGATAGCCCTGGTCTTTGTTGTGAGTGTGACTTCTCAGCTCCAGCATAGAACCCTCATCCCACTAGCACAGCTCCTTCATCCTGCTGGCATAGACTTTCTGGCTTCCACCGCTGACCCTTGGGTGTTCCTGGCACGGATCCATAAGAGACTGGCGTGAGTCCTTGTTGTGGGCTCTGGACCTCCAGTTGTACTCGTGGAGGCATTGTCCTGATCTCTGAATTTTTTATCTGGACTCATGTGGGACATTGCTGTGAGGTTTAGGCTCTTGACTGAATAATCTGTGTCTTTGGTGTTACGGATAGATTTCCTGTGTTAACTTTTGGTGACCATTATAAAAATATTATAAACTCCATCCCTTGATCGCAATTGTTCTCTGTGTACAACCCTGACTACAACAGCAGGTGATGTCAAGATTACTGATCCCAGGATCACACTGTGGAAATCATGGTCTTAGGTAGGTTTTTTCCCACCTTCTTTTCTACCTCATTTATTTCACTTTGTCATTAAGATCCAGATTAAATCTCCGTCTGCATGAGAATGTCCTAAATTACTGAAGTCCCACTGATTTCTGTTTACATCGTTGCTGTAGTCATTAATTACTTATGGTATCTCTCCAGTTGTTTTTATTTAATCTACTTTTCAATATTCACATGTGTTTTCTGTCCCTTTAACTATAGTGTGTACCTTCTACACTGAAGGAGAAGATACTGTCCTATGTCTCCTCACTCAGTGCTATACATAAAGCAGGGACTAAATAACTTGGTCATGTATGTGTGAGACTTGAATGGTTGAGTTAGAGGCACAATAATTTCCTGATGTCTTGCCTTATTTTGTTTCATATTCATTATCTCTGGAATCTCTTCAGAGATCCCTGAGTCTCTGTGTCTCATAGAGTCACTGTTTTCTTACTTACAAGGAGGCTGAGATAGTTCTTATGATTACATTAAGTGCATAGACTTTGAAGTCAAACAGGTGGCATAAATGAAGACTTGGCACCTGTATATTAATGCTACAATACACTATGTGGCTTACCAGAACATCTACCTAGTCAGTTTGAATTTTGCCAGCTCTATGTCAATAATAAAGTTACACATATATCATAAACATTATGCATATTAACTTTATATAATTGTAATATATAATATGAGTACTGTTGTAATGCATAACATGTGTGTTACATAGAGCTGATTCCCATCAAGGAAAGAATGTATATAAAACATCTGGCTAAGTCTTACATGATGGGCACTCACTAACACTATTTTTATTTTTACTTTTTATTACATAAAAAGCAGCTGTTGGCTCCATTTCTCATGTCCTCTTGTTGTTTTTAAGGTATCTCTCATTAACTGATCACTAACCACACCCCTGTCATACAGATCTGTTACTCTGTCCTCACATTAGTCATTTCTGCTGCCTGTATTTTCCACTGATTTTTCATCTCCTTGATTTCTATTTGGAACTTTTTTATGGATTTCCATTCTTTTCAATGCTGAAAATTCAAGTTTTGTATCTCTTTTCTTACCTCCACTAGATTTTTATTAGTGTCTTCCCTAGGCCTGCTGATCACTTGTTTTACTAGGATTATTATCCATTGAGTTATATCTTCTTTGAGTTTTCCAAGTATTTTATTGAATTGTTTTATTTCCTTCACAGATACCCTTTCAGATATTTCTGCTGTGTGTTTTATGATTTCCTCCCACTTTGTTCCCTGTAGGGAAGTTGGAGTTTTTGGAGGAATTTTTTTTGCCTTACCTTCTCTCATGTTTCTGTTTCTGTTTGTTTGGCATACTAGGGTTTGCTAGTTGATGACAGTGAGTTGTTGTGTTGTGTTGAGTTGTATCCACTGGGCATGGCTGACTGTTGGTCTTTGGCTCTGTCCCAGGATCCAGCTACTTTGGTTTGTTTGGGAGAGAAAGTTATAAGTCCTTTGGCTCAGTGCCCAGATCTCCAGGAATTGGCTGCAATATTGTTTTTGAGCTCTGGACAATCCAGATATCGGCATACACAGAAAACCAATTGACAACAGTAACTAAGTCACCTCAGTTATATTAATAAAGTCAATGACAACAATAGCATCAAGTATAAACTCAGATACTAACAAACCCTAAGAACCACTCATGCTTAATGGAAACAAAGAGAGCTATGGTTTTAATATAAACCCTTAGGCAACCTAGACACCAACCTGCAGAAAATCAGACACTGTTTTTTGCTGGATGTAGGCAGCAGTGCTGGAAATCAAGCAGACTATTGGACTAAATGCTAATCTCCTTTAGATCCCCTCACTGAATGTTATACCCACCAAACCTGGCCTCCCACTGCAAAATACAGACCCTGTGATCTTCCTGGACTGAGCTTGTGCTTCTCAGGGGATCACAGGAGAATTTTGTCTAGCTTTCACTCTCTCCAAGTCTGTCTCCCAAGGCTCTATCTTACCTTCTCAGTCCTAGTGTGAAACTCTCCTCCAGGCTATTGGTTGTGTTTCAGTCAGGTTGGTCTTTTTCCTATGACCCCCGCCCGCCACTCTGTGCTGAGGAGAATCAAGGTGCAGAGCCAGGGAAGAGTTGATAGTTTTCGCCACTGTCCTCCTTTCCATAGAGGATACATGAAGTACCCTATGGTGGCAGCAGTGTGTGTGTGTGTGTGTGTGTGTGTGTGTGTGTGTGTGTTCCCCTCCTTTCCCACATGAAGTACACAGGCAGCTGACGGTGGAACAGGTATGCAGTGCTCCATGAGTGTTCTTTAAGATGTCTAGCTTGATTTCAGGACCTCTGGCCCACCAGTACACTCTGTTCATGATCTTTCACTCCTCTGATTCTCACTTTTGAGATCTGAGAAATGAAACTTAATGGCTTAATTGTATGGCAAAGAAAACCTTGTGACTGGATTCGGAAGCCCTGATTTGATCCTGAGCTCTGTCATTGGCAGGGCATTGGGGACTTAAAGACTTTGGACCTCAGGTTCAGTTATAAAAACTGTTAAAAGTTAAAAAAGTTTTCTGAACTAGAAAACCATACCAACTGAATTTAAGTCATAAAATCTGTGCTAGGCTCTGGAGTTGAGTACTTTGTATGTTTGAATTCTCTTTAAACCTGGGAATAAGGGGCTATTATGTCTGTTATGCAGTGAAGACACCATGTTACACACAAAGAGGCTAAATACTTAAAGGAGATCACATGACTAGTAAATGGTGGTGCTAAAGATTTATATTTGAGAACTTATATTCTTACCAAGAGTTATCTATTATATCATAGAATTATGAGAATGCTCCCAGATATGAAATATAGTTAATGATATTTGTTTCTTCCAACAGTTTATTCATGAAAAAAGGACATTTTTAATTTACCACTAATGTAGAAATGAAGAATGTAAAGCTTCTAGGAGAAAATTGAGGAGGCTGAAAGTCCTCTAAGCAATAGAGATGATTCCTATTTTCATTTGGTTGAAAGTGAAGATTGCATAAAAGAAACAATTGCGTAATCAATAATATGGGTGTCTTTAATAAATTCCTTTAACAAAGTTCTTTCCTTGCCAGCATAAAGGAATCCCTGAAAAAAAAATCAAACATTGATAGTGTAGCTGGTAAATTTCATAAGCTGTCAGAATACTCTGTTTTAATCCATTGATCAGTAACCAGTTGTTCAGTATGAATTTTTATGTTCAGAGATAGTGTGCAATGGCTTTTTTTAGTTGCTAAGTTACATATTGTTCATAATGTTATCTCAAAGTAGTTGTTTAAGTTACAAAAGCAAAGAATAAAAAGCGTACAGGCAATCAAACAGTGATTAACTAACTTTTTGTAAACATATTGCACAGGAATGAGGCAGATGCTGGGTGGAACACATTAAGGATATGGCTAATGAGTAAGTTAGCTGTCAGATAACTTCTGACTGCTATACTTTTATTTTTTCATTTTCAGAATAAAGAACTAAAAACCAAGGTGGCTCTTTGGTCAGAAACTGCTAAGATGAAAGTATCTAAGGCTGTCTGCACAAGGTAAGAGCTTTCTTCTCTCACTCTGCTCTTCACAATCTCTCTTTAGCAAAGTTGACCTTCAAGCCCACTTGAGAAACATTCCAATCCCTTAATACTTTTATAGCCATTGTTTACTGTCTCTCTGAATTCAAAACTGTATTAATATTATCCACCCTTGAATTCGTGAAGCCTGGCATGTCCACAGTACTTAATAAATAAATCAATAAAATAATTGAGATTATTTTCTCATTGTTTGCTCTAAAACAAGCCAAACCTCAACTTCAGCACTTCCTCTAAGTATTACAAATTATCTCTGTCTTCCTCCTTCCTCTGTTGTTGGTTTTTTTATGCTATTGGTGAACATTTTAATCATGAATCATTAGTATTTATGGACCTTTTCATAACATCTGTCAAATCTGGAAGATTGTAAATATCACCAAGTCAGGTGATATTATTTTCTGCATTGCTAAGAACAAGTATCCAACCTAGTAATGAATGATTTCTAGCAATAATAGTGACTTATGAAAGTAATCAAAATCATGGTCAAAACCATCTAATTCAGTTTTTAATGTTTAATTTTTGTTCTTATTGACTGAATCTGAACTCAAATTTCATTTCCATAAACTCTGGAAAATTATCGCTTAAAGAAAACATAGCCTGTAATTACAGGTATCATTTAAAAGTGATTAAAAACTTCCTGTTCTAGCAGCTTTTAAATTTCCCAGCCTGATTCCTCTAGGGCAGCACCTCATTTTCTGAAATTTCTTCAGCATAGCGCCTGAGGTGGAAAATCAGACTCACTGTGATTAGCATCAATCTAAAAATTTAGACAGATTCATCAATTTCTTTATGACTCCCTGTAACAATGTCTCTCTTTGCTAGTGATGTATGTCATCATTAGAGACGGGAGATGAAACCATTAAGAATGAAGTCCTCTAAGTCCTTGGGCCTCTGGGTTCCAAATTCTCAATTTTTTGGCCATTATCACAACTTTGAAAACAAAAGAAGTCAATCATCAGAGGTTTTTAAGGATGCCCCTATTTCAGAAGCAGAGAGAGGAGTAGAAGAGATGAAAGCTTTGAAACAGGAAGGCAAGCACGACGTCACAAGGGAAGAGAGAACTGTCAATGTCATGCTTCCTTTGAGACCTTTCCCAGTGGTAGTGAAGCATCACGGCTAGTCTGGGCACCTTTAGCCTAGCGGGGATGGAGCAGACTGGAACAAGTGAGCAAAGCAAAGAGAACTGAGTGGGTGCAGTTGTACTGGAGCCACTAGAGTACTGAGTGCTACAAACCTGGCTGTATGTAGAGGATGGTTTTGTGAGAATGATTTTTTTTGGCCAGTTTTAAAATGATTGATACTTAAAGCCCCAAGTGCATGTGTGCATGCATGGTAGTGGGGATTGAACCCAGACCTTTGCTCATGCTAGTAAACATTCTACCAGTGAAATTCACATCGTCAATCTTTTTTGCTTTTTAAATTTGAGACAGGATTTTGCTAAGTTGCTGACACTGGTCTAGAACTTGGAATCCTCTTGCTTCAGTCTTCTATATGGTTGAGATTACAGGTATGCACCATTGTGCATGGTTTAGAGGTTACTGTTTTAAAGCTTTTTCTTCCTGTGACATGGGAAGAGTCAAGTTATGTGAATTTCCTAACTGAAATGGTGAAGTTTCCTTGAATATCCCTTATTTTTTGTGACCTTTGGTAGAAATTCCAATGTCAGGTGTATAAAGATAGCCCTCACTTTTGCAAAATGAAATGTGGCCCACTGGCTGCCTTACAATGTAAATATGGCAATATGGTTATTTAAACCTGAATTCACTGATGTGAAACGGAATTATAACTTTAGGGAGAGATTGGAGTACAAATGTAACCACCAAAGCAAAAAAATAAAATTATGTACACTTAAAAGCTAGTCTTGGCAAACCTCTTAAATTACAACAGAGGAAAGTTTTATGTAAGTACAAACAAACAAGATTTCTTTTCTCAAACATTAAAATAGATATTTCTTGAGTAAACACCAGAAGTGGTTTGCTTGAGACAAGCAGCTGTATTGTTAAATAGTAAGACATACATGTATCTATATATGTGGATATACAAAGGTATGTATGTGTGTGTTCATATGTTCACACATGAATACTTTTAAATGCTGGAAGCTAACAGAGATTCTTAGTTCAGACTATGAGAGACCGGGCTAACTGAGTCATCCTGGGGGAACACTTGCTCTGTATTTTCTCATCTTTTGTGTGCTCTGGGGCAAATTTCTACTGAGAGGAAAGGCAGACACAAGCTCGTACTCTCTGGCTTCCCACTTGCTCTTCCTCACACTTGTCCTGTTAATTTGCCTATATTAAATTTGCTCACAGTGTAGTGCTGTCACGTAGTACTGTAGGAGAATTGATTAGAATGGATACATTAATGGCCAACTCTTAGATCAAAGCAGTTAGTTCAGATGGGGCAATATGATTGTTTATAATGTAATAATCATTATATTGGTAGATTTTAAAATGCTCCATTTTGATAACTACATTGTCTCTTCTACAGTGAATTAAAGACTGAAGATACTTCCCCGTATTTGATGTTGATTAGGCTTCGAAAATGAGCTGCATGAAGATCTGATTGAGAAAGGCCATGCCGATCTTATTTATTCCTTGACACACAGTCTAAATGCTCATGTTGAAGTGGTGCAATGCCAGTATTTAAGTGGCATGTATTGTATGCATCAATGACTTTGCAAGATGAAATTCCAGAAAATCAAATAATTATATTTGAGGGAAGATGTTCTTTTTTTCAACACTTACAAATTGGTGAAGAAAGCAGGTACTTATTGAGGGAAGGAATTCTTCTTTCAAAACTTACTACATAGGTGAACAAAGCAGGAAGATGAATTCTGCTTAAAACTTAAAAAGAAGGATCTGAATTTTATTTTAAGAATTTTTCTGTAGGAAGCTTTTTAAGATTGATGACTTTGCTCTCATGTTAGTAGTTTCTGTATGAATGAGTAAGAAAAAACAGTGTATAATTGAAATGATATATATTTTAAATTTATTTTTGGAAAATAGAAAATAGTTACCATTACATAAATTTATCTCCTGACCATTTTTAGCAAAGAGTATTCTATTGCAGGCAGAGGAGGGAGTAGATTCTTTTAAAATCACTCCTGAACCAATATTGCTCTCCAAAGTTGAGAACCCTGACTGCCTTTCCATATTTCAGAAATTCCCTGACTTTAGTTGTTCTGGGCCAAATAATTCTCATGAGAGGCAAACCACACACAGAAGCACCCAGGCCTCGAACAGTGTACTCTGTGACAAACTTTGTTACTGATATTCATTAATATCTTAATAAAATAACAGTGCTGTTGCCATACACAAGCACCAGTTGCGTCTATTGTGGATTCAAATGGTATGCTATTTGGATATTTTTTTCTGAAAGTGTTTTAAATTTTTGATGTATGCCTTTACTACAAATGGAGTTTATGATTGCTACAAGTAAAGCCAAACTGTGACTTGTACAAATGCAAACATACTGCCACTCAGGAAGCCATGCACACTTTGGTTAAATGAATGCAGACATTCATCAGCCTAAGGGGAATTGTCTGAAGGCTCTTTGGTCATCCTTTCTCGTGTGTAAATCTAAATGTTTTCTTGGGAAGGATGCTTCCAGCCTTTCGATGTGGAATGAAAAAATATCAGTATTATCTATTAAATATACAAAAAGTAGGTACAAGTAAGATGAGGCAGTGTATTTATAAGTTCATCCAAGTACTGTAAGCCTTGAAATAATGCACAAGTTTCATACTTGAACCTTTTATTACTTGCTAGTCTTGAGGGTATAGTTATCTAATATATTTAGGGCATAGTTATTCAATGCAGGAAAAATTCTAAGTGTTTTACCTTTTTTTCCCTCAAAAAAATCTCAAAAGCAGGCTATTTTATTATCTCTGTGTTACAGAGGAAAATGTATTGAGACTGGGTAGCAATCTGCACAACTGCTAACTGTGGGTAAGGATTTGCACCTTTTAAATTGGCTATTGATTTTCACTCTATTTGCTCCATTAGCCTTTCTTGCTCTTGTAGCACACAACAGCCTCCTTTGATGTCTCTACATTATCCTTTGGTTGATAGCACACCACTTATTATTGATAAAGGCAATATTTCTTGATATGAGTTGGCCTTTCACCTGTTAGACTATGTCAGAATTCAGTATAGGCAGAATTCTCTGCAAAAGAACCTGCTAATATTACACATATTATTCATGACTTTATGCCACATTGAAGAATTTCTTTGCATTGCATTTTGAACACATTTGTAGGGAAACTGAGATCATGAATTTTGTTTCCAGTGTTAACAGTGTAGTAAAAGAATCTAAATTTCACTTGGAGGTCAATTGGGTTCTTCTTTATACCTCTGTCATTGCATAGAAGATAATATATTTGAGCTTTTGGAATACACTGCTCAACCAACCCAAAAATCTTGATGATTTTCATTAGGATAATTTATTCTGAAGTCAAAAGTAGAAAGGACAGGCATGGCAACACATTCCTGTAATTGCAGTATTCAGGGATTGAGGCAAGAGGATCATTGTGAGTTTCAGGCTGGCCTGGGCTACAGAGTGAGTTCAGCCAGGCTGAACTATGTAGTGAAGCCCTGTCGGAAAGAAAGAAAGAAAGAGAAAGAAAGAAAAGAAAAGAAAAAAGATGATACTGTTGAGTGTTGAGTTTGATTTTGGTTTTCTTATACTGTTTTTAACATGGATTTACAGTTTACTATAGCGCAGTTGAGCCTGCTCATTAGAACTCCGGGTTTACTTTGGAATGGTCTTTGGATTTCCTGAAAGTAACAGTACTCATTTTTAGAAGCTTGAGAAGATTTAACTCTTAAATATACAAGAGAATCTTTATAGTAAGATATCTTTATAGGCTTATTATTTATTTGTCACATATTTATTTCCTGTGTATTTATTGTTTTAGCTTTTTATCATTTGAATTATATTTTTAAATAAACATTTGAGTGATTAAAGCAAAGGAGTATAATGGAGGAATAAAGTTTATTAGTCTGAAATCAGTAATGTACAGAAAATATGGGAAAAGAAACACTAGCTGTAATTTAAGTCACTGTACTTGTAATTATACTAATCAGTGTCTGAGGGAGCCTTCAATTCATACATGAAATCAGAAGATGAAAACAAACTCAGTTATACTTTGATTGTATATCCATATATACACAAGTTATTATTATCAAATATTTGGACTGTAACAATTGATATAGTATATCCTTTGAATAATTGCTTATAAAATGCTTTGTAATAAAGAAAATTGATGTTATAGTTTGTGGTTTATTTTCTTATTTTTTTACTGTTTCAATATTCCATCTTTTATAAAATTTTATTGTACATTTTAGATATACATAACATCCATCATGGTGCATATACCAAGTACCTGGTATATCTTACTTCTTTTTCTCATTCCCCTCATCTCTCTTCAACTCTTCACCTCTTTATTTACAAAAACTTCGTTTCCATTTTTCCCTTCTATCCCTTTTTTCTTGTCCCTTTCTTCCTTCCTTTTTCCTTCCCTCCCCCTTGACTCCCTTCCCATCTGAACATTTCCTTCCCACTCCCCAATATCTATTATACATTTTGGACCTTTTAGATATTTTTGGTTTCTCACAGAAGAGAACCAGTGTGGTATTTAAATGTGTGTCTGATTTGTTTCACTTAAGAGTATGAACTCAACATGCTTCCCTTCCGCTAGAACCCTTCTCAACTGTTGGTGAGAGTGTAGACTGGTGCAACCACTGTGCAAATCAATGTGAAAAAATTAAAAGCATCATACCACAGTGATACATGTACGTCCATGTTTATAGCAGCATAGTTTGTAATAGCCAAATCTTGGAAACAGCCTAAATACCCAGTGAATGAATAAAGAAGATTTTTTTTATATGCAGTGGAGTGCCTCTCTACCATAAAAAAAGATAAGCTAGCATGTGTTTGTTTCATTTTGGTTTTTTTTTAAATTTCTTTTTGCATCGCAATTTTAGGCTTGAATGAATGAATGAACGAAGATATTTTTATGTGATTGTTCATTTCATATAATATGTACTATATATGAATTACCTTTATCAGTGAAGAGATTTAAATAGTTTTGTGAATTTTTTTTTACTAATTTTTCCTGGATCACTATTAACAGCTAAATAAATGTATTAGGTTCTTATTCTAACTTTAAAAAATAATAGTTATGGAATGATGAATGCATATACTTTTCAAATTTTTGTATAGTTCTTCCACTTGAAATCCCCCTCTCTCCTCTGACTTGCAAATAAATACAGAATCATTGTCAATGTCTAAGTAGTTCGCCTGTACACTCAGGAGTTAGAAGTGCTCCAACTAATACCATAACTATCCAACTTCCTTCACTTCTTTCATCCCTCCATCCCTCTTTGCATCCTTCCTTCTTTCCTTCCTTCCCTTCTTCCTTTATCCCCTTATTTTAGTGTAAGATATTAAGGATGTAAGAAAGATTTAAATAATTATGTTCAACCGTTTTATTGTTAAAGTACATATTTTTTATGGAGCTCGAAACCTACTATCCTCACTTATGGTACACTGGCATTTGAGGAAAGTGCAGAAGCAGGAAAGTCGTTTTACATTTCCACTTTCTCTTCTGAAGCAGATTCTAAAACCTAGCATGGGTTTCTCTGATCTTTTCCTACAAGCTACTTGGGAAAATACTATCTGTATATACAGAGGAAAGTCATACCCTTGTTTCTAAAGATGCAGGAACTCAGAAAAAATCAGAACAAACAACTTTGCTCATTCCCTTCCAGTTTATTCATATTTTATCTTTGTCCAATCATATTTCTCTACAACTATTTACTTTATCAAATCTTACATTAAAAATATATAGCTTATTCATTTATTTGGGTCTCCAGTTCCTTATAATGGCACCCATGTTATATATATAATTTAAATTTGTATGTTTCCCTTTAGTTAGTCTATCTTTTGTTATACAGCTTCAGATATAAATCTATGAAAAAAAAGATATTTCTTTTCTCCTATATTCAGACATGTTTAAATTCATGGTGAAATTGGAACGTATTCTAGGGATGTGTTTGGTTCCTTATTATTTAATCAATGTAATTCACTGATTAATACACAAAATATAGATAATTGTGTGATTATTTTAATAAATAAAGAAAAATATTTGACAGAATTAATTACGGATTCATCATAAAAATCTAAAGACACTTCAAATCCTGGAAAAATATCATTGTGATAAAAAGCGCTTAGGACATGCCTTCAAGTAAGGCAACTAATAGTAAAAAGCTAATGATTTCCCCATCAGCACAGGGAAATTATAAATGTGCCTGCACTGATATCCTAACCATTGAAATATGATAAAATGAAAACACAAACAAAAATACAGATTGAACAGGCCAAAGCAGAACTTTGTGTGTGTGTTTCATGTAATTGATAGAGAGAACTCTAGTGGATGAACTGACTAAAGGTTGCAGTTGACTGATTTTTGACCGAGGTGTCAAAGCTGTCCAGTGAGGGAAGGGAAGTCATCCCAATGGGATTATAAATCCTAAAAGTACCTGGATAGCAGAGAAAACATTACCTCATAGCATAAGCAGTGCTTAAACAAAATGGACAGTATGTCTAAATGTAAAGCTGAAACTATAAAATTTCTAGAAGGCAGCCTAGATTACCTTTGCAATATTTAAAATAGACAATATTCTAATACATTCAAAGACCATGAACAGTAAAAGCAATATTTTAGTTTCATTAAAATTTAAATATTTTGCTCTGAGAAAAAAAGTACAATTAAAGCAAGCCATCAAATTAGAAAAAACATTTATAATATGCATAGAATTTGTATCCAGAATTATAGATACAATGAATAATTAACATATGACAATAACATGACAAATAAAAATGAATTAAAATGATGTGACAATTATTTTGTAAAACAAGATACAAATGACAACTACACACATGAAAAAATGTTTAACACATTAGATGTTAGAGAAATACAAATTAAAACTACTAAGAGATACCATTAAACACCAGCAGAACAGCTAAAATGAAAAAGATTGGCTACTACTGAGGACTTGGAGCATCTGAGTCTACTGTACAGGAATGGTAGGAACAAAAAAGTGGTAGAATCTTTTGAAGAATAAGCTATTTCTTAAAGTGTTTAAATACTGGGCTGGGGATTTAGCTCAGCGGCGTAAGCACCTGCCTTGCAAGCAGGTAGTTGTGAGTTCGATCCCCGGTACTGGTTTAAAAAAAAAGTGTTTAAATATACTTATATCTGATGACTTAAGCCTTCAATATCAAAAAGGAATAAGAGCTTTTGTCCACAGAAAGATTTGTACATAAATATTAATACTATATGTGTAAAAGCGAAAAACTAAAATGTCCATTAGTAGATGAATAACAAAAGTATGGTACTCATACATTGGAATATAACTCAAAGATTTAAAGAATCATAACCATCAACAAACATATACAACTGATAAAGCTCAACTCATGCTAAGCTAAAAAAGAAAAGCAGGAAAAAGGTGCACTATAGGATCTCATAGTGACATATCAGCGCTGACCTTGTGGTAGCGAGGAGTCAAATTTATGTGGCCACAGAAGTGTGAGGTTCAAATTCATGTCAACAGAGAAAAACCACTCTAATAGCACAAATATGTAAAGGATTTATTAGAGAGCAAGGAACAAAGAAGAAAACAAAGTTATATGACCACAGGGATGCCAGGGGAAATGAAAGAAAGAATCCCCTTGGGCATCCTGCACAGAGCAGTGGGGCTTTGCTGGTACCTGCGAGGATCAGTGCGTCACACTAGATTTTTCAGCCAGTTCCAGCAGGCCTGCATGTCTGGAAAGGATTATTCTTAACCTTGATTAGAGCCTAGGAGCAGTCAGGCCTTTGGGTGTCAACAGTTATTTCTCAAGAGACAGGCAGCCTCTCCGAGGAAAGGCATGTATGTAACCAACGTGATTTTAGCAAACACCTGCATTTTCCTGAATCTCATTTTTAACCCTTTCCTGACAGTCTGGGATCAGGAGTAGAGAAAAGGAAACTGCAAAAGAGAAATAGTCAATGTCTTCATAATGTTAATGTTTTTCTGGGTATATTCAAAGATGAAAATCATTAAATTGCGTGTCTTAAATGTGTGCAGTGTGTAATACATAATGATAGCTTTAGCAAAGTAAAAAGAGAAAAAAGAAAAAGTTAGTAATTCTATAGTTCACCCAATTGGTATCCCAGGTAAGATGTATTAATTTCAGCTTATCACACATACTCATCGAGGGCCCCCTAGTTTCTGTAGTAGGTTCTAGATGCTGGTGTTACGGCAGGAGATGGGCGATGGGGTCAGGGAGCAGCAAGGAAGAAAACGAGGGAAAATCTCTACCCTCACTTAAATATAGTCTACTGATAAGGATGAGATATTCAAAGATGTTTGTTGAGCTGTGACAAAAATAAAGCTGACAACAGGGTAGTTTACCAGGAATGAAAGCATGGTTAAAATATTAAATGAGGTGATAATTTAACAAATGGTAACTACATACTGGTAATTTAATAGGTCAATCATTCAAAATAAGACCCCTCCTCTTTGAAATTAACATTTAAACAAAAATAGGAAGAAAGTATTGTTTGTCATTTGGTCAAAGTGGGCCAGGAAGATGCTCATTCAGGTGCTCAAGCCCAGAGGGAAGAACAGACCACGTGTGCTGGTGACAGGGCCACAGGCACAGGGATCAACGAGTGAGTCCCAGCATTGTCTAAATGCTCTTCCATACAATGTGTTCTTCATATTTTCTTTGTATACACCATTCCTTTTATTTAATTAGTAAGTTTCCTTTCCAGTCCCTCTTTGAATTTTGAGCAGGGGAACGAATCTGTGTATCATTCCCTTCCTTTGCCTAGTTGCCTGAGTAGACGGAGAAAGCCCATGTTCTCTGAGAGAGGCAGTTAAGGGAACCTTGCTTTTAAATGTCTCAGTTAAGTGGTCTGGTTTTGTTGGCGCAGCAGCCTCATAATCAACTAGTCTTCGAAGTGAGAGGAGGAGAAAGGGCCCAGGTTCCTGAGAGGTGCCATGTTCCTTCATCCAGTGCATTAACTAACATGACCGAAGTCATTGCATGGTGGCCATTTCTCACTGGAGTGCATGAGTGCATGGTGTTTCTCTGAGGAGCCCAACACATTGCCATATTGTGTTGTAACCTGGCTGTTGCTACGTCTTATTAAAGAAGAGGATTTCATCTTTCAGCACCTGTGGAAATCATTCAAACTTGTGATGACTGCAGAAACTGTCTTTCTTTTCTAGTTTTTGCAAACCTTGGGTCAAATCATTGCTTGTTTCTTCCAAAACCATGGTGCAAGTCCTTACATGTATTTCTGACAAGGCAGCAATGCTTGCATTCTCACTACAGCTAACTTTCTCCACAATAGTAATCTGTATCACAAGTGGTATAAAGAACGTTGGTATAAAGAACATTGTTATAAAGAACTGTGAGCAAGACAGCATGCCTTCACAGTTTTAAAACAGAAATCTTAGTTACAGAGAGTGAATATCAGGGTGTTTTATCTTTTTCAATATAGGTTATGCTATGACTTTTAAAGTTCTCGTAAAATCAGTAGGGAAAATGAGCCCCTAATGATTTTTCTTGAATGATTGCAAAAGATTCTACCTCTATGAAACAGCATTATGGCTACTTGGGAGTAGAGTTAAAAAAATAGTGCCAAGGATTTATTTACTTGCACTTGGGCGAGTTATCTTTAATAAAAACTCATCAGTATCTTGGCAAAGCCTCCCTATACAGCATATGGAGGGAGATCCTCTCTGGGAGTAAGGAATCCTTTGTTAATGAACACTGTAAAAGCTGCATGGCTGTGGTCCTGAGTTCATCTTGAACACCGAGCTGTAACAGTCTATGACCAAGAGAGATACCACCACCAGCACAGCAGTTTGTTATGGAGAAGAAATAGATTGCAATATGTGAAGTACTTCTGTACCATAGTCTATTTCAACATGTTAAGTACTAATTATAATAGCTGTGTCATTCGAAAATATTAGTAAATTTCATTTGCAAACCCAAGTCTTTAAATAATTAATAAGACAATTTAGGGAGATAAATAAAAATCGGTAGGCCAAGTCCAAATCACTCCTTGTTTCCTATTCATTTTGAATGTGATACAACTTTCATGTTGATGCTAATTTAATGTTTCCCACTGACCACATATGACGTATCAGCATAGACATAAGGTTACTCTGAATACATGTAATAATTGATAAAAATGCATTTTTATTTGAAAAGACTGCAGAATCACTGAATACATTTCTCAACCATGGTATTCAAACTCACACACCACATAATCATTGGATGCTATAATCTCTGAAGCCACTAGAACTTTGGTACATCATCATAATGACCAAACTGTGATTGTTAGGAACCACAGTCTATTCAGGGGCATATAAAATAAAAACTCCAAGTTCAAAGTCTTAAATTACATTCAAAGCATTAGACAAAACAGAGATCTGTGCAGAAGACAGACAAAACATGCCTAGGTTAGAAATGAGAATAATGTTACTCAAAAGTAAACTAGTGGGCTACAGTAAAGCACTTCAGTGTTATTTTAACAGAACATTGTCTTATTTTAACATATTAAAGCATAATTATTTTTTTACTTTCAAATACAATCAGAATCTTTTACAAGGCAGTAGAAATAAAAGCCCCATTTGTACAGAAAATTTTGACTAGGTTATAGTATACTATCTATAATTGATTTGATTTCTTTGAAAGAAATACAAGATAACACACAGATTAAAACAGAGATCATATTTTCTCAATGTTGAGATGCAGTCAACATTTTCAATCAAATACAATGACTTGACGGTGACTGCCCATCTCTAGTTTCTAGTGCACCTTTGAAATTAGTGTGTTGTTCCTGCTCTAGTTCGTACAGTAGTCCAGATTATGACTTTGTAATTCACTATTAGTATGTGATGAGTGTCAATTCGAAGTGGAATATAATTTATAAGCCATTTTTAAATATATTATCCTTTGAGCCTACTGTAGACCCTTTGAAGCACTCAAATTTTATAAACTCAAATGAGGAAAAGCCACTAAATTATTGAATGACATACTATGGCCCCAAAGGTCACTTCCTTTCTACAACACTAGGCCATTTTTCAGAGAATTTATGGAAAGTTCATCCCCCAAAATAAGCATAGATTGCACACAGTGTTTTAATGTGCCAACATATAAAGGCAGTAATCACTGGTTATATAAGGGTGCTAGTTCAGAGGTGTTAGTTTTTACAGAATCTGCTAACATGCCTTAAAGATTAACTCATCTGAGAGATATTAGCTATAGTTTCCAAGACCTCTTGGAAAGGAAAGGAACCAGGAAACCAAATTTAAAGCACTCAAAAAATATCTTTGTATATTATTTCTCCAAAGATGACATTATCTTTAAATGGTCCCACTATTTTGGTACTAATGTTTTGGTTTACTTATGTTTTGTTAATGCTTTTCTCTATACATGAAGTTAAAAAAATCTTAACAATGGACTATTGGTATAAAGAACTCTGCAGAAAAGCATACTTCAGGTGTTATTTCTTTAAAAATGTAGCCCAAGTACAATTTACAAGAATATTGGATTCACATACAGCAAATTAAATGTTTTTCAATATCCAAATTTTTGATGACAATAATGGAAATATTTGGTGTTTAAATATTTTATTAGCTTAAAATTAAGGATATAACCTCAAGTTCTTAGATTAAAATGATGAATAGTTTTCATTGATCTAGTTGTAAACACTCTAATCCTTCATTTGTATCTAAAAATCAACCAATAACTTTCTTCCTATTCCCCAATACTGCAAAGTATAATTCAACCAACTTTTAACTCTTATTTCTCTTCACATTTTTGATCAGCCACGTCATTGTGGATAGACCTTCACCCAAGAATTTGAAAGCAATAATTTCATAAAATCTTTAATGCATCCAATAATTTATCATTTCAACATTATGAGACAAGCAGTCTCAGAGATTTATAAAGCAATGAGACAACATTCATATAAGGTAACATTCTGTATCTATTTTTATGTTTATAAGATCAACATTCTCCCAAGAAGCACGCAGGTATCACCTTGGTCAAAGACCAAGAAAATACAGCTTGTGGAAAATTCTTAGACAACCTTTCAAATATGGATAGCATCTTGACATCATTAAAATGATAAATATTCCTCTAAAATATACAAACACTAGATAATGCTGTAGAGCTTGGTGGTAGCAGCCAAAAGGCCACTCATATCACCGTGGCCAACATCAGCTATCAGACCTCCATTAAAAAAGATAGTGCATATAGTAGGAAATAAGAGATTAGAATAAAATTTTTATAATTTGAATTTTATAAGATAAATTTAAAATTCTTTATGGATGATGGCTTTTTTTTTCAAATTTATGTGTGATACACATTAAGGAAAGCATATATATATCTGTTTTAAAATGAACAGAGATTTAGAACATCGAATGATCTTATTTCACAGGCACAAGTGCTGCACATTATTGACTATGCTTTTGTATCTACTGTGTCCAGGGCATAATATTGGTTTCTAACTTTTGTATTATTCTAATGTTGAAGGTAATATAGGATTCATCAAATTTGTTATAACAGACTCAATTTACAGTTTGAATCAACTCAAGTTGTGGCTGTTTTTTTTTTAAAATATAGTCATGTCTTTATCTATAGTCAAGCTTCTATTTCTTCTACAGGGAACAAGAAAGCATTAATTAATACCCTTGTCCAGTTCTTGCTAGCTGTATAAATTGGCAAACAAGTAAAGCAGAAGCATGACAATGATGCACAGAACTGTTCGCTTGGTAAAGTATAACAGATAAAATATGTTAGTAAATGCTGCTCTTGAATTGTTTGTAGTGTGATAGCTGATAATATGTAAATGAGAGATAATTGGTTAGAGTGGTAACTTACAGGAGTTTTAAAATTCTTAATGGATATACAAATTCAACTCCCAACATTCAGTATTTTCTTTAATCTGTGACTTGTAACCATCATCAGATCAAGACAAATATTATCTTCTCTTGAATACATTCGATACATTTTTTGAGGGCTTTCTGCTTTTACATGAAAAGATCCTTGTATCTAATCACAAATAGGAGTCTCAAGTAATTCCCACTCCATGAGAAGTAAGCTAGGAAATGAAGAGAAGGTGGTAACAATCTCTAGATCTCAATAAAGTCTCCACATTTTTTGCTGAAGATCTCAGAGAAGACTTTTAGCTGTGCTAGAGTCTCAGGAGGGCCTTCCTAAAATGAGATTAGAGCAAATGAGCTGGGCTGGAGATAAATTTGGTCACAGAAGTATTTGAGGCACTGAATTAGAATGAGGTAAACATCAAACCAGTGTAAACACTCTAGAAATAAGTTCTATATCAGCAAGGGTTTGGTGTAATTTTAAACTTTTCTTCAAAATACAATATGATTTACTGAAGCATTTGGAAATTATTAATAACAAGACACATTTTGAATAAAAATATATACTGTTGTGGGTAAAAGGAACATGCAATTATTTAAAGCAATTTGTACATTCATGGCACCAGATAAATTTGAAACTGGAAATGAATTTTATAGAGCTATTATTGACCCTGAAATAATGAAAGAAGGATTTTCTAATAATAGCTACCTAGATTTTGGGGTTACATGTCAAATTTTACAGAAAAACTATTTTTAGATCAAGTATTCACTTAAAAATAGAATATTTTAAGGCCAGGGATATGTCTCAGTAGCACTGTCCCTACCTGGCAAGTGTGAGGTTGTGAGTTTGATTCCTGCTACCAAAAAAAAAAATTAATAAAAAAACAGAATATTTTAATTTTCTTGTCAGTTTTAAATTTCATTGTTTTTGAAATTATTACCCAATAATTGTTATTTTTACTGGCAAAATTCTATAATTATGGGCATCATTACCCTATGCTTCATGCTCCAGCTATCAAATAACAATCTTAAAATAAATCCTGCAAAAATACTCATAAGATAATTGACAATGACAGAATCTTGGCACATTATATCAATCACACAACTGGAAAATGAATAGTAAATGAAAGAAATACCCAACAAGACTATCTTTAGCATTTTCTAAAAGCCAAGCATTCTGTATTACAGAAATGCAGGAATATCACAATGTGAATTCCCCAAAAAGAAACACATAATGATTATATAAATTCACCAAATTTTATGATATCAATGGTAACATGGTTTCTCCCAACTTTCCAGCTAGAAGAAATATCTTAATTATCTAGATAGTAGCTTTCTGTCTTCATGGTGCAGGCAGTGAGTTTATGAAGAGAATTCCAGAGAAGAACACCACTGGAAAAAAATACCAAACCATGGTCAAACTTAGAGGGAGGCACAGTGTTAAAGAAAGCACAGGCTTAGTTAACACTGAAAATTACACTGGGAACCATTCTCAGAGTAGCTTCTAATTGTTTTGTTTTGTGGCCCAAGTCTGGGTGTAGTTCATCCTAAAAACAAAAGTAGTTATTATCCTGGATCTCTTTGTGTTTCTGAAACATTCAATAGCAGATGGAGGATTGTAAGACAGTTTGAAGAGGAAACTGGGATTTTAAGGCCTTTAATGTTCATAAATTTAACAAAGTAAATATACAGAGTATGGAAAACCTGGGTTTAGTTGGAAAAATTGTATAAGAAAATGAATTATCCTGCCAAAAAAATTATATACTCACAGTAAAAAGAAAAACAACATGGAGTAGTTGTCTTTTAACTAATAATAGTGACTAATATATTATTCATACATAAATAACAAGAATAGCTTGAGTGTATCAGAAAATAAGATCAAAAACTAATGTGCTATTAGTGTACACAGTTGTAAGAAATGATCAGTAGAAAACACCTTTGTGATAATTTTTAGACAGAAAAGGCAGATTTATGTAAAAAAATATATAAAGCAACTGATCACATTTTTGGTGAGATAAGATACAGCTTCATCCCAACCCTAAAACATAGCTCAGCTAAAGATTTTTTTTTTTACTTAGACAGAATAAAAACATATTGTAAGAAAGAATGCAGTATCATCGATTTTTATAGGATTAATGAGATGAAAATTCAGTGTGACCCTAGAACAGATCCATCATTACTGAGGATGTTGATCTAAAAAGTGACACATTGAACAATTTTGCAATTGACTCAAAGTCAGAGGTAAACGAAGGTTGGAGGGAAAAACATGAATGAGATTTTCTAGGGCTTTTGTAAACTAAAAGGAAACTCATAATTAACAGTCACTTTTATTTTATATCAACAGCATATTTTACCTATAAAGTTTAGGTTGAATAAGTTTTCTTGCCTACATTTGAAAAGTGATATTTAATATATGGCAGTAGTTTATTTGTCTTTGTGACTATTTATCACATTTGCTATGAAAAATAAAATTCTGCTGGAAATGGAAACCTTTAGATCTCCTTTTAAGCCCAACTGACCATGTCAGCATCTAATGGGCTTGAATGAAATTTGACTAAGTTCTTCAAAACATCTGTAAAAGATCCATTTAATTTTAGCTGTACAAATGCCACATTCCTATACTTTTATTTTTTCCTTCAGGATATTTCTCGTGTACTGTGTCACTCACAGTCCTGTTCTTGTCTACTTGCCATTTATTAGGACTATAAAAATCATATTACTATACAATCTCCTTCTTTCAGCAAAGTTCTGACATTCACCCACTCATAACCTTATCAGTAATGGTTATTCAGGTTCAGCTTCGTGGGTACATACAGTGAGATCGTTCTCAATGAATCACATAGAATTCTTCATAGCATAGCCAATTTTAGATAATATGTTTTCCCCAGTGGAAATGTAGAAGCATGAATCATATTTTATATAAATAAATTCAAATTTTAAAAAATCTGTATTCTCTTACTAGTAGCCTATTCCTTTCTTCAATGTGACAAAGTAATGTTTCCTCTCTCTTTTAAAACTCAGGGATGTTTATTCCTTATATATGCTCTTATAGACTATATATTTTATATAAAAAATTGAGCCTCCAGGATGGTCAGGTCACCTTAGGAAATCTTAGATTTTGTTTGGAAGGGATTCAAGAATAGCTGGTCAGTTCTTTTGAACACTTTTAACTATCCTGGTTTCTTAAAATAGATTTTCTGAATGGAAAAGAAAAGCATTCTATTGTGCATGGTCTACTCAACAACAATTTGTGGTCTGTCACTGCTTTCAGAAGTAATATTTGGATGGTTTCTTCATGATAAGCTCCTATGGAGGGTCTAGCAGGCACATTTCTTCTCTGCTGGCTTCTCCCCATCTAGCTTTCCAGAATTTCCACCATTGACAACATCAGGGACCTGTGTCTTCTCCACACACTGTTCCATTCGTTTCATTATTAAGTCCAGAAGGGTTTCCACAGACTTCTCTACATTCTGTCCAGTAGCTGCACTTGTTTCAAAATATGGTATGCTGATATGGAAAAAAATAACATATACGTATTTGAAACTGACAGAATTGCATGTATACATCATACACTGCATTTGTTATGAGGTATATATACATTGTGTAGAACAGTAAAATCTAGTTAATTAACAGATGTATTACTTCACACTATTTTTATGTTAACATCAACTCTTTTGGTATTTTTCAAGAGTACAATTTATCATTATTAAATATAGTCACTATGCAAGTTAGTAGATCTTTTAAACTTACTGTTGAAAAATGTCAAGGAAGTGAATAGTATGTTTTCTCCCAAAATGCTAGTATTTTTAAGAATAAGAAATCAGAAAAGTTTCAAGATGCAAAGGTGAATCACATGCAAAATTATAGCTGGGAGAGAAATTGAAATCATGTTTCTGTTGGATAAGTCAGAAACATTCTTGTTTTTTATTCTTTTTTTTCTTAATGAGAAAAATTGGTGAGCTGATCTTTAGTATTATTATCAATTGCATGGGCAAGGCAGTCTCTCTGGAAGGTAGTCAGGAGTTGAAGTCAAGGCATTGACTGTTTAAAAATTATAAGAGGAAAAAGTGCCTAAACTATCAACCAATACCACCATTATAATATCATCCATTTCAGTCAGTCATTGGGAATCTGATGTATTATAAATTAGACATGCATTGATTAGGATATTTATGTGAACACAGGCTATTTTTTAAAAAACAATGTTACAAGAGGATGTAAATTTTAAACCTCTGAATGCGATTCTTTCAGTAATGCAGTAAAGAATTCAATTTCCGTTAATGAAACTTACAAAATTAAAATAAAGTGACCAATTCTTCTGTGGTAACTGTCTACAGTTACACAGACTGGCTTTCGTATATTATATTTTGCTGTCATTCAAGCTCAGCTACAATAAAGGTATCATTTTCCTATCCATATTAGGACTTTGGTAGCAGCTATTACAAAGCAATAGCATATAGTGTTTAAGAACATGAATCTGATCTTAGGTGGCCTGGAAGAATTTTAGCTCTATTCTTTACATTTGCTTGGCATTCCCATATAGTACTTACTCTTTCTGTAAATCAATTCTTCATATCTAAAATGGGATAATTATAGTATATCCTATACATGCTTATGAGGAATTAAATGAGTTACAATTAGGGATGGTTGCTAGCATTTAGTAGGGATTCAGCAAATATTAAATGCTATTATTATTAAACCATTAAAACACCACACATTCCTCTAGAAGGTATTTCTAATTTAGATATTGGTCTCAAGCCAAGGGGAATTCCTTCTAATGTCAATCTCAGGTCTCTGCTGTACCAGTGAACAACAGGGTGAAAGGTCAGGTGGTTCTCAGTGGAACTGACTTACCCATATTTTTCAGCTAATTCCCGGGCTTGTCGTTCATTGACTTCCCTCTGGTCTGGCAGGTCTGCCTTGTTGCCAATTAATACTATGTCTGGATTTTCACAGTAAGCATTTGCTTGCAGTTGGCCTTGGAAAGAAAGCAGATGGAACCAGCAAGTTAGTTATAAACAAGTGATGTCAAATGATTGCTCTTATTCCAGACTCCTAATAGATTCGTTCATCTTCGGTTTGGTTGGTTACTGATAATAGCCAAATTACTTATCTTCTCACTCACATTTTCCTCTTCTATAAAAGGAAATACTGTAGTGCCTCACTAATTGTGGATTGTGATGATGACAAATCATAAACACGGCGCACCTAAACTAATGCCATGTCCACGTATATATGCTCTCTAACATCTGGGGAAATGTCCTGACATACTGCTTCACACCATTTTTCCTCAGATAGAAGTGAAATTAATTGAACATGATTTTAAAATGCATAAATTTGTAAAAGGCTGCTAGATTTTCTTCTTCTGATATACAAAGTGATGATGTATTCCAGGAGACAAAAAAATCACAAAAATTCCTGTAGAAACAATTTTAAGACAGGTAGCTTGCTCTTATCATTTCTCCATGAAAAACTGTGTGTGTGTGTGTGTGTGTGTGTGTGTGTGTGTGTGTGTGTGTGTATGTGTAGCAGAGAGAGAGAGACAGAGAGTGAAGGGCAAAAGGAAGATGAGAGGAGAAAAAAGAAAACAGGAGGGAGAGAGACAGGCAGGAAGGCAGGGAGGAAAAGAAGAATACCCTGTCAACCTGTGTTTCCTAAGTCACAGACAAGAGAAGAAGACCTCTGTAACATCAGGTATCTATCTGAGGGTGAAACTCAACTATGGCATGTGGCAGTTAATTCCCTTAAATCCCTTTAATATCCTTCTGGAGACTTAAAATAAACCATTCTCTGAAAGAATCTAATAATTTTATTATTTCTTTGTCTCCTCAGAATCTAATAATACCTCCAAAATTTGGATAAGGAAATATAATGTTAAAAGGAAATAAAGACAGATCCTAAGACAAACATTCATTTGGAGATGCAATTAAGGAAGTCAGAATTTGTTGATATTTTTCCTCATCCATTACAACTGAGTTACTGAATTTGAAAGCAGCTACATGTATTTAAATTATTGGTAATATTTCAAATGTAATGTGTTAATTCTATGTAGCACATATATATATATGGATTACTATATGTATATAGTGTATATACTATATATATATGGAATACTATATATATATATGTATATATATATATATATATATATATATATATATATATATATACTATACACATATATGGAACATCTACTCAGTTCTAGACATTTGCCAAGATCTAGGATAACATACTGGATAAAAAAACACATAATTTGCCCTTTCATAGAGCTTGCACTCTAGTAGTGGGAAAATTACAATAATAAGTAAACACAAAAATACATGATACAAGGAGTGATCACAAAATATGGTAAATGTTTGCATTTTAAAAATTTATTACAGTAAAAACAAAGTGCCATGAATCCTTCCCAAAATAATTCTCTTTCCTCAAACACACTTATCTCATCATTATTATCCATTTCTTAAGCAGTTTTTGGAATTTTGTTTCTTGAGTATCTCTGGTTGCACAGGTGAATCTACCTCAAAATCCTAAATCGATTTAAAATGTGTGCCTTTCACGATCATTTTGACTTTGGGGAAGAGCTAGAAGTCACATGGTGCCAGATCTGGTAAATAAGGTAGATGAGGATATGCTGATGACTTTATTTGATAGAAATTGCAACACATTTTTAATCAACTATGCAGAGAGATCCAGATAGAGAGAAGGGGAAATGCAAAGGCCCCAGGGCAGGAACGGACTTAATGTCCTGAGAGATTGGCTAGAAGCCAGTGAACTAAGCCCCAGTAAGAATGAGTGGAGAAAATGCCAGGGCTTGATTACAACAGCCTCAGAAGTAAGTGAAGGGCCCTGAGTTTACTGCATGTGAAACAGGCAGTCCTGCAAGAAAGCTGAGTGGGGAAATATGAAAATACAATATATACATCACTCTGGCCACAGATAGCCTTATAGGAGCACACCAGCCTCATGGTGGTAGGGTGCAAAGGCGATTAGAATAGTTATGTCCACCTAGGATCTCAATCCCTACTTGTAATTAAAAAATCATGGAATATTCTCTTTAGTGCTACATCAATTTAAAAAATAAAGGAAAATTTTTGACACTTCTCTCCTCTACTGATCTGTAGTAATTTGACTACCATGACCATTGCGGGAACACTTAAATTTTATATTATATATAAGTGGCCCAGAGGTTGAAGCTTTTTCTATGTGATACTTTCTTACATTTAAACAAATTCTTTTCAAGGTAAATCCCAATGTGATCTAATGGATAGACAAACTCCCTTACCATTCCCAGCCTGTTCTACCTGGAGTCGTTTTCGTCCTAATTAACCCCTTTGTTCGTGAGGACATCCCAGGTGCCAATCTCCTCTCAGGTGCTTAGATGTTATACATATGATAGCTCAAGATTGACTTGATAAGTGGAATGAATGGCCTTTTAATTGCAGTAATAAAGACCTTAAACATAGGTGAGAAAGCTACATATGCTTCTTTTATGAAGACTATCAAAAGAAAGTAAAATTCCAGGTCTCTTTGGAAGATCTATACAAACCACCACTCTGAAGGTGACACAGGAATCACCAAACTCATGACTTTCTCTCTGCCCCACCAGGCTGCAAAGTTAACAAGCAAATGGCTGTGGAGTCCCAAAGACGCCAGCGTACATTACTCAGTCCCACTTACTCATCCAGTTTCTGACATTTAAGAAGCTCTGTTGACTGGTGAGGTCAAACATTAACAAGAAGCCCATGGCGTCTCTGAAAAACGCAGTGGTGAGGCTCCGGAACCTGAGGAGGAAGCACAGGGGTGGTTCTGAGGGTTAGTGCATACCTAGGATCATAGCGTAAACACCGTTGTTCCTCCTTCAGATAGAAAGATCCAGAAGGAGAGGTTTTGTTGTAGAGGTTTTATGGTCTCACGGCACTTACACACAGACATTGTGACATTCAATCACATACTTGCTGATACAGCTTTTTGGAATCTTTTTCCTGTTGGCTCATGGGTATCTTGTGGCCCACAAAAATAATTTAATCACTTTATAGTGGGGACGCTAATGTATGCTTTTCAATCTTTCTTGTTTGTGCCCAGTGGAAAACTTGGCACAGAGTATTGTGAAATGAATGCATGTGATCTTATGAAGCCAACCACAACTGGTTAGCAGCTGGAATCAGAATTCTTTTGTGGGGAAAAACATTAGTGAGCAAACTCTAACTCTGAGCTTTGGGCTAGCATTCAGTGCTCATGAAGAAGAGGAAGATAATTAATGGGAACAATACAAGGTCAGGACAAAAGAGAGTCTTGGTAGCTGGGGAAAGAAGTGAGAACACTTATTTATAGTGGAAGATGTTGGAGAAATATGCTCTATCATGTGTAAGATTAAGATTTTTCTCTTCCCCACTTCTCCCTGGGCCCCCTAAAATCTACACTGATGTTGAAGATACACTGAGATCCACTAAGACATTAGCAATGAGCAAAACTTGAGACTCTACATAGGGATTAGAATTTGACAAAGGGTTAAAAAGTCTTGCAACTTTTAAATAGATCCTATCCCAAATCTTTCTAATTATTGGCCCACTATTTAGTCTTTTTTGTAGCTACTTCATGTTGGTTTTCTCCAGTCTATTCTTAATCGATCTCATTTTATGTGCATTCTCTGAATAATTTCATTTACTTCCTTGCCCTTTATATGCCTATTATTAGTTGGATATTTGTATGTGTAGGAAACTAAAGGACTTCTAACGCATACATCCAAAACCAACTTGGCCCTCCCTCCTGATTTCTATCAGTGGATTATCTTTCTCCTCCTGGTTGCCACCACCTCTGTCTCCTTCACTTGCTCATCAACATATTTCTCTTTACCTGCTCATTTCTGTGCATTTACCTTGCTAGTGCTCTAGTTTCTGACCTACATCTCTCGCCTGGATAATTTCAGTAGCATTCTTACTAAATTTTTTGTGTCCAGTTTTGTTTGGGACCCTGCTTTCCTTAATCCTCTACTAATATCATCTTCTTGATTGTTCATGCCTCCTAAAATAGTACCTGACCTTCTTCATCAGCTGTCAAGACTCTGCAGGAACTGATCATTTTTTATCTGAGCAGCCTTATCTAATAACTACCCACAGGCATGCTGCTCTGCTCTTCACTCTGACAAAGTTCACTCTTCCCCAGACTCTCACACACGCTGATTGTTCTGTGGGTAATGCCACATAAGTGTTTTCTTTCCATCCTGCCTTTCTTTAGCCTGGAGAACATCAATTATACATTCTGTATGAATGTATGCAAAATGGCACCAGAGGAAATAGCACTTCCCTTAGGATCCTTCCCAGAGCCCACATCTGGGTGATGGCTTCCCCTGGTAGACTCATGTATCACCTTTTCTTTTCCTGTTACCCTCTTGCATGTCCTGAAATTGTTTATTTACCCAGCTTCTACTCTACTCTATAAACTTTATAAGAAAATGGGCTGTGTTTTTAATTCACTGTTCATTACACCTTCATGGCCTGGAACATGGTATTTGCTTACAAAAAACACATGGAATTAAAGGCAGCCAAAGAGAGATAGGAAATTTTAAACATTCAAAATTACTTCAGGAAGTAATACTTTTAATTTCAAAGCAGAAAAAAAGAAAAAATTAATGAATTACTTATTTTCAAATTAGAATTTCATTCATAGGGCATTATCATGATTTGAAAATGTAGAGTGGAAACAGAAAAATATTTATTCATCTTTACTTCTGTAGATTTGTTCCTGTCACTTCCTGGAAGCTTACAGAGTTTATAGGGGTTTTATTGAATGGTTGTCTCTTTGGAAACTAGCTATACCCACAAAATTATCTGCTACTCAACCAACATAGCAAAAGGCTAATAAAACTGTTGTTTGCTCTGTGTGTGTGTGTGTGTGTGTTCAAGATAAGACTATATATTATTCATCCCCTCATTTTTACAGCACGTAACAAAATCACTCAAAAATATGCTTGTTAAGTGATGTGATTGGGTCAAACAAATTTTCATCGATATCAACACACATAGGGCATTCTTGCTCGGGAGCAGGTTTATAACTATAACTTCAACTCCTCTGTCTAGTATTTTTCTTATTGATCAGTCCTTCAAAGAAGAAATTTAACTGATTTGTAGTTTCATACAACCTCCCTTCAATCTTATTCTGTCTGGTGAGTCAGCAGAGTGAGGAAAGCTAGAACCATATGAAGAAACAGATTCCAGAGTCAGATATCTTAGTGTACTTTCAATGAGCACTCAGGCTGTGCCCTGCATACTTCAAATTTACACAAGGATTATCTATTATATTTTTCTTTTTCCCATGATGTGAGTTTTATCAATAATCATTATTTTTCAAGGATTGTACTTTCCATATGTCCTGAGGCTTAGGAATGAGTGTGAGGTATTGTTTATTTTGTTTAGATATACTTCGTATGTGCAGAATGCCAAGTTCTCAAGGGATGAATACCCCAGTGTTATGAAGACTGCCCTGGTCCTCCCCATTTCCCTCATAGCACAGTTGTCCTGAGAGGACAGATGAGAGAAACCTGCCATCATGCTAGGCTGACATATCATGTGCAAGGACATATGGGAAGCACATTTTCTCCCGTTACTTCAAAAATGAATTAAATCAGTCAATAAAACATACTTCTTTGTGACAACAGAACTGACACATGAATAGAGACTCTTGTGAGGAGTGACTTCAGAGGAACTAGCAGTGTTGAAGGGTGTGTGCAAATGGGATTCACAGTCAGAAAAGCTAACAGAGAGGGCCCAGCACCTCTCCTGGTGTTTACACTTACTGAAAGTGAGAACATGTTGGATGCATTTCAATAATGGAAGTGTTTACAAGCATCAGCATTCTAAGACATACTATGCAAAATTCAGAGATATGTGCCTTCTAAACATCTTTGCTGCCAAACTGTTGCCATTTTTTATTTAATCTGATACTGAAAAGTGTCTTTAGTTTTGGGTCTTTAGTCCTTTGACACTTTGGATCTCAACAAAATATGTTTTCATCAAGTAATGCAATAATACCTCCAGCCTCAAACACTTTTGTGTGCTGAGGGTCCACTTTTGGGGCTCTTCCAGAAATTATGCTGAAATAACAGATAAGGTCCAGCCCACCCAAAGCACACAATTTTGTTGGGTGGAAAAGATCACAATGAAAAGCCATTAAAGATAGAAATAGATTCTCCTTAATTAATTTAGAGGCGTAGAACAGGTGTCAAAACTATTCATAAGAAAGGAGGAGTTGGTTTCAGCTGAGGTGCACAGACAGTCTTCACAGAGGACAGAACTGGAGTCAGGCCTGATGAAAGGAGAGCATCAGAGAAGGTGGGGAGGAAGCTTGAGCTTTTAAATGGAGGGAGGGCAACGGCTGAATCAAAATTTGAGCTAGTAAATCCAGTCACAGTGTGGAACAAGGAGGCAGTAGGAAAGAACTGGAAGCCATGAGAAAAGTCTTTCTTCAGTTCTCTCTGCAAGTAGCATTTATAGCAATGTTTAGTTTCCTATCTTCATTTTAAGTAAATCTGAAAAAGTTTCTTCCTACAAGGGACACAACAGATTTACTAGAATCTGACTTTTGTATCTACCCCAACTACACAATGCCAGTTATGAATTAATTAGACGTCAATAATTTTTATTTCTCATCCAACTATCTGGAACCAGAGGAAGATTTGCATACCTATCACTTGTTTTTCAAGTTCACACGCAGCATTCACTTTAAATGTTTTTCAAAGCTATTGTGTCATAGTAATTTCTTCTTACCGCTCTTGGCCTGCTGTGTCCCAAAGCTGAAGATGCACTTTAAATGCTTTCCCTGAAGATCCATTCGGCCCTTGTGTATTATAAACCTGAAAAACACAATTCTCTTCAGTTAATCTTGCTTTGGATCTCATCAACATTCTAATTCTCTGGGTTCACACAACATGTTTTTTCTTGATTACTATAATCAAAGTTCAGAGTGCAGAATAAATATTTGCTCTATTTTTCCCAGAAATATCACATAGATCTCACTTTTAAATGTCAAATATGATTTTCAACACAATTTAGGCATCCTGCAAACTTAAATTAGACACCTTCTGTCATTTCCTCACACAGTCAGCAAACATCAGAATTAGGACGCAAGTTCTTAGTTCAAATACCAGCTCTTCATTTTCTTATCTGAGTCTAATTTTCTTCCCTGCAAATTGAGACTCATAATCTCTTCCTACTTTGCAGAGTTACTACAAACTTTAATGAAATAAGAGATACGAAAGCATTTTTAAAAAGTAAAGTGCTTTACAATTACCTGAATATCTTTTAGTGTGAAATAGACTTTCAAAATGTCTTAACTATTGAACACACACAAACTTCTCAGTAAATTGACACAGGACATTTCAATCCCTCTTTTAATAGCTATTTCTTCAAAGGGCTTGTTTTGATAAGTTTGGTGGTTTAGTGTAAATGTTCTAAATGGAATATTGTACCAGGAGTTATACCCAGATCAGTGAGTTTTGGAGAAGAGATTAGGACAACCTTACAGGGGTAGGGGACAAGTTGCTAAAACTACACTACACTGCATTGGCTTTCAGATAAAGTACAAGATGTGATTCGACTCCTCAAGCAACGTCCTTTCACCAAAGATATCCTTTCTTTTCTTTCCCAGTTCTCAAGGAATGAGTTGATTTGTGACATCAACTGGAAGCCACAGCCATCTTGGCAGTCGAGAATACCTTGGGTGGCAGTAAATCTGGCTAAGCTTATGTGCCTATGCTACATGTCTCACATGTCACAATATCCTTATTCCTGTCATTAGCGTCTAGCATGGGAGAAGGAAGTGGTTGTGATTCTCACTTTAACTCCCATATCTTGGAAAATAGCATGGATTGGTCTCACATTCTGTTCATAATAAGGCAGTGATTGATGGCTGGGGCTATGCATAAATCAAAGTGTGGCAAGAACTTACAAAGCTCATGATCCAGTTATTTGCCAATCATACTTTTAACCTCTTTGTTAACAGTAAGGAAACAAACAGCCTTATTGAGTTTAACTCAGATCGAAGAGTCATCGTCTCTATATCCTGAATAGCTCTAATTTTTAAGATTCCTTAACAATTCATAAAAAATGCAATATGCAAATCCCAAATTATTTTACTTGACTTATATACTTTTAGAGATAAATGACAGTGTCACTCACTATTTTTCCAGAAAAAAATTTATTTGTTGTCAAAAAAGCAGTAGGTAATATTCTAAATTTAAGTTATGAATGTCATGTAATTAAAGATACACTGCAAGCAATAAACATAAGAATAAATGATTCTTATTTTATATAGGGGGGTGAGAAACAAGATTAATAGGATGGTTAAAAACTCACCACACGTTTTTCCCGAAAATCTATTCCTACTGTAGTGATGAATTTGGGATTGAATTTGTTGTCTGTGTATCTGTAAAGAAATGTTGTCTTCCCAACCCCTGAATCTCCAAGGGCCAGGAGTTTGATCAGATAATCATAGTCCCCATCGGTCATAGTGAAGATCTAAGTGGGCCTGTGTAGGAAAGGAAGAAGAAATATGTTATGGTTGAAATGGATTTTCCTTTGCCTACTAGCAAATTAGAACATTAATCTCATTTTCAAGGTTAAGAAAATCCAATGTTTCTATTCTGCCAAGTTCCGAATGAACTTTATTAAAGCAGTTTCAAGGGTGAGGCACGTCTCACATTTCACTTAGTAAACATTATGCATGATGTAACTTGATATGAAAAATTCTGGAAGTGCCACTACCACAGCACTAGCAGAAGTAAAATCAAAAAATCAGACATGTTCCTTTGTAAGGTCAGTGACCTCTAGGACCTGAGCAATTGTACTAGGGTGAGAAAAGAGTCACAGGCTCAGAAATTCTGTGGAAAGTGATACAAGAATTCTAGAGAGAGACACAATTATATGTGGAAAATCGGAGGAGAAAGCCTGGGGGTATATTTGCATGCAATCATGCAAGAGGAGCTTTCTATTATGTAGACACAGAACATTTCTTTTTTAATTTAAAAATTTAGCAACTAGTATGAGAACATTAAAGATGGATTTGAAATCATTTCAAAAGCGATGCTGAAAAATTTGCTTTTTTAACACTTAAGCTTTTGTTCTCCAGTGGTAAATCTGTGTTTGGGTGCAGAGGAGTACATTTTCCAGGCCTTAATAAACATCAGAGCTTTCAAAGGTGAGCTCGATAATTCTTCTAGTATTTTCCTGTTGGAAAGAACAAGGTGATTTGCCATTTCTTCTATTGCTCTGTTCTTTCTCGCCTCAGCTTCTTTGGTTTGTTTTTACAATGACTATGAGCAAGGAAGAGCCCGTGCTAATAATGTCAGTGTCTCTGTCCTGGTCACACCTAGAACACCAGGAAAGACATCTGAATGACAATGTCAGCCATTGAATACTTAAAGGTTCTAGCACTGACTTTAGGAAACTAGTACTTTCTGATTCATGCATTATATGAATAAGTTTGTCATATTCTGTGCAGGAGAGGGTCTATAAAGATTTTTCTAGAGGGAAAAATGTTGTTCTTATCATTGTGTGGACAAAAAATACCCCCTATGAAGATACAGAAAACATTTCATTAATGAAGAGTTCTGCACTGATTAAAATTAAATTGCAACGACAGCCTGTTTCATGGACAAATCTGAAAATACTAGATTATCTAATAATTTTCTATATGTGATAAAACAATGTATATAATGTGCACAGACATAAATTTAAATCAAAATAATTTTACATTTCTTAAAATGTAAACTAACTTCTAACATTAGTAGTAAAGTTGAAAACTTGTATCTTTGGGTAAAAAAATGATGAAGAAGTTAATGGGGGAACTTATAGCTCAGAAGTACTAAATATTTTGAAACATTTGAAATGTTTTACATTATAAATTTTTAAAATTTGAACTATTCTCCTGTTCCTAAATCCTCTTAAACTCATTATGATTCTGTGTTTTTTTCATTATGAATGCTTTGTGAGATAGGCTGTTTTGAAAGCTGTCAACAAGTATTTTTGCTCTAAAGTATTCCTCCTTTATAGTTTACTTTGTACACTGAGAAGGCTTCTTAGGGTGGATTTTGCTGAACATAAATGTTTATTTTTTAAAATATCTATACAAAGCATGATCAGTGCAGGAAGAAATGCATAACAGCCAACAGTAACCAGACTTTCTCAATAAATGAGTACAGATATACCAGCTATTGATATGGAATTCTTTTAGGAAAACATCTGCATGAGATGAATGCAGATGTATTGGTCTATGCCTGATATCCTAGCACTTTTGGATGCTGAGGCAGAAAGATCATAAGTTCAAGTCTATTCTGGGAAATTTAAGAACTTGGTGAGATTGTGCCTCAAAATAGAAGCTAAAAAAGTCTGTATGTGTAGTTCATGGCAAAGGTCTTGGGTTTAATAATAATGATAATAATAGTAATAATGATTGCCTAGAAGTAACTAACTCTAAGTTTGCATGGATTTATACGTAAATTTTTACTGGGATTTTATTGTTGAAGGTTTTCTGGTCTTTAAGGCAAATAGGTTGCTAGTGCGATTGTTGACCAAAATAGTGTGCTGCTTCCCTCTCTGTGGGGCTGTCGTTGCCATCAGTCCACCTTCTTCACTCTTCCCCTTAAAACTTCCTCATGTGAAACTGTTCTTGAAGATGACAACTTCTATCTGTGCCACTGGAGTCTGGTCAAACTCTTAACGCTCTTAGGAAAAGGGTATGAATTTATTCTAAGGTAACTAAAGCCAAATTCTTTCCCACACATAAGCCTTGATGACAGAGGATAAAATAGAACCCATTGGCTGCCTAAGTAGAAGACAAAGTTGGGGTATACTATTGTTTCCTGGAAAATTAAAATAATAGAATGAAAATACATCTGCATACTTCAAACTCTGATTAAAGTTTCACTGCATTGTTCGGCAATTGTGTGTGTGGCAGTTTCAAGAAAAGATAAATCTACCAACCAAATCCAGTAAAATACTTTCAATACAGTGTATTAGGCCCAAAGGAGAAGATAAAAAAGATATAATTCCTAATCTAAACAAGGCATGGATACACTTGAGAGTTAAGTAAGAATGCAAGAGAATATGGCATAATTTTATAATTGTATAAACTAGAATATGATGAAAAAGTCAAATCATTGCTGAGCTTTTAATTCTGACAAGGCAATGACCTTCACGATCTGTGGTAGTCAGATGAGACTTAGTAGAAGAAAGATAATTTTTCATTAACTTTATAGCATAAGGAAGAGGAATGTAGGAGGAGAGAGATAGAGGACCACTGCATGGGTGATTGCTTCCCTTTTGTAGAAAGAGTCTATTTACCATTTGCCAACTACATGATCCATTGTGTATTCTTGATTGATGCCCTGTTTGTCCTCTGTTATTTGCATATAAAACTACCTGGGCAATACTGAGGTTGCCCCATGGTCAAGTGAGCAATGCAAGTAAACACCATGGTGCACAGTGCCTCTTTTCTATAAATGAAGTGTGGTTGGCATTTTGTGTCATTTAACACAAATATCACCTAAAATGAAAGCATAGCTCAGTACTGTAGAAAATTCTACACTATTTAGTATACTTCTTGACATATTAAGATCCTTATAAGATAGTTTCCCTTTGTCTTTTTAAACATTTATATTATTTCTGTCTTTCTCTCATCTGTCTCCCTCAACTCCTTCTCTCTTTCCTCTATCTCTATCTCTTTCTCTTTCTAACTTCATTCAGATTTACTTCTTCCCTTCTTTTTAATACACTGAATTTTCTGAGTCCTAAAATCATGTATTTTATACTTGGTATGGCAAATACAGCACCACAAAGAAAAATAAGCTTTCCTTTCCTAAGAACCGGCCTAAAAATTATCTGGGGAAGATCAAAAAGTGCACAAGTTTAACAGTGTTGTTTATCCCTACATGATAATTAGTGAGCTCATCAGTTCTGAGTTCTGTGATCTATAAGGAAGGAAAAGCTTGAAGATTGCAGTGTCTCAGGATCATATCCAACCCTTGGTCCTCACCACTATGTCACAAGTATACTACAGGTTCAGGGGAGTGTGAGATACAGAAACTAGAGCACCAAACCCAAACCCTTCACAGGAAGGTAAGGGGCTAGGAAGAGTAGTGGAAAGATCTGAAATACATCACACTCATGACACTCATCACACTCATTTCTGAAAGAAATGTCATAAAGGCAGAAAGAAAATCGAGAAATCATGTGGTACAGCTCCTTAGTTTTCAGATGAGAAGTCATGTGCAAAGAAGTTATGTGACTTGGGGCCATACTCCTTTTTTTTTTTTTTTATAAAGGATTTTATTTAAAGAGAAAAAAAAGCAAAACAGAAAAAAGGGTAGAAGTAACAGAATTTCAGAAAAACAGATAGAAATCACTAGTTGATAGATTACATATTGCCATCTCAGAAGTCGCTGTTCAAGTTACAAAATTAAAGCATACTAAGTGGACATTTAAAAAGTGAGACTGTAAACAGTTCTGTTCAACAATCCAACAAAAACTTAGTAATTTGGTTATTTATTTTATACACTTAAATGTACATGCAGTTATATCCTTTAGTGCACTTTCTTTTCCTCTCTTTTTTATAATAACAATTAGTAATCTTAGGTTTTATTATTCCTACGGTTCTTATTACTTTGTTTGAAGAGAATAAAACCAAAGGTGACAAAGCAAAATGGAGTCAGTTAAAACAAGAATAGACATAGTATATGATGTAAAAGCAAAATGCAAGGTGATCAACAATGGCCACTATAATGCCTCTTGCTATCTTCAAAAGAATTGCCCATATCATATTATCTCTTGTTTTCTTTCAAACAGTTGTCCCCATCTTCACACACAGTGAATACATACTGAACATTATAGCACTAATCTGATCAGAACAGGGTGATGAAGGCTTTTTAGGTTTTCAAGACCTGACATTGGGGAAGTCAATAGTGACTGCCATAATGTCCCTCATTCTCTTCATAGTAGCTGTCCTTATCTTTATATACACTGAAATTGAACATAAGAGACTGGACTAATATCACTCTAAACAGTGAATAATAGTTTTGCTAGATTTTATATCATAATGTTACAGAATTAGCACTGAGTTTCTGAGTGTCTCTTCTTCTTCAGAGTATCTGTTCATTACATCGTGCGTTATATAATCTGTCCTGTAAACTGTTTAGAAATTCTCCCCATGTGTGAATCTCTACATGTGTATCTATCCTTTCTGTATTATAGGGAAAAACAGATCATAACAAGACAAAAAAAAAACCAAATTCTTAGAAAAACATGAAATGAAAGAGATATAAAACCACATTACTAGGTGATCTACAGTAGTTACTATGCTTTCTCTTGTTATTTTCAATAGAGTTGTCCACATCATCAGACATATAATAATTGAACATAGCATTACATAGCTATTTTAATAAAAATACAACTTTGGAGACATTATTGGACTTCAAAAGCAGTTAATAAGCAAACCGGAATGGGTATGTTATTACATCTTGTCATCTTCAGAGT